TCACATGGTGAGATACAAAAAGCACTAAGTCTCATTTCCTCTCTTCTCTTCATGGGCACCGAGATCCCTCTTCTTTGCGCTATCACCATTCCCCTGGAGACAGACAGACATCTGCTTATATTTAGAGAGAGGAAGAGAAGAAACAGTTTATCAAGGTTGGGCACACAGACCCCTGAGCAAAATTGATGGCACTAAGTATGTGCTATGCTTACAGCTAAGTGCCTGATCCCAGAGTCCCCAGTTTTCCTTTTTCACACAAAGCTGCTAAAGCCTTAAGTCAGCGTTAGCTGTTTTTTTACAACTTCATTTTTAAGGGACTTGATGGATGTGATTTGATTGACCAACTGTTAAGCTGATATGGAAAGGGGCACAGACCCTCTGGTCTTACTCAGTCCATGACGCCCTCACCATCGGCCATGAAGCAAAATGATACAGTGGAACTCTTTCTCCTCAGTTCCTTCATAAGCTTTCATTGCAGGAGCAGCATGAATGCATGATGAATGAACTTCCCTGCCCCTTCTAGTTCTTTAATGGGCAATTGTCCCAGCAGCTTATACCTAGAATCCAAATGGAGAGCAAAACAAAATCTAGGTGGCATCCTTAGTGTTTCCAGTTATAGCTGGTGGTAAGTCTTTTGGAATTCCCCTCCAAGTACAGACCATGAAATTCCTTGCTGCTTTTGGTTCCCTGTTACTTCAGACCTAGACAACTTACTTTTTCCTGCTCCATGTCTACTTCTGTCTACTGCTCTATCCATGCTAACCTAACTCATGTTTCTTTTTATTAAGCTGTAGCTACTCTCATGTAATGTTTTCTGAGCGTCCCTATTGCTATGTGATAAGATCAATGCATTTTCTGTATCAGACTGTGGAAGTAAGGCCAAACTTCCTTGGCGAATTCTTTTGGTTTTGAGACATTACTTTACATAATGTATTACCTGGTCCCTGCAGCCATGTGCCTTCAACACAATGTAGCCAGAATAAACAGTTTTCTTTCATAATTTCATTTCAGTCATTCCAGATCCTTACAGAAAGGAAATTTATGACCTATCTGAGACAATTATAGGTTTGAATTAAAAAAAAAAAAAAAAGTAAAGCTTGACCCCTACCAATCAAAGCAGCTTGTGGGTCCTGACCCTCTCTGGTCAGGAATCTTAATCCTTGCTAAGGTTTCTTCAGAAATGGAGGGAACATGTGGTTTTTGGTTCTCATCAACCAAAGTAACTCTAGAATTGACAAATGCACGCTACTGTTAATTCCCAGATCTATTGATTTGTTTCTCAGATGTATTCCATGCTTTTTTTTTCCTACTGATTTGTTTAAGTTAGCCTGGAAAAACATAGGAAGAACTCATCAATGTCATAGGTGGTAATAGCCATGTGGGTAAGGATGGCTCTACCTGAAAAGCTTCACTGACCCTCATGTTCACTATGAAGGGAGACAACATAGATTTCAGGGTCATGTCAGTGAGTGTGGCTCTTGTTGACCTCTCTAACACTCACTAATGAGAAGAGGAGAAATAATGGGATTATCAGGGGATGTGCTGGTGTAGGGGGAAAAGGAGAGAGCAGAAGACATTCTAATATCTCCTTTTGATACAATAGATGGATAACTATCCATCACTCATTTGACCCACAGACCTTGAAATAACACACTTTATATTGTTCTGCACTCTTGAGCTTTGCCTAAATGTAAACTGGGTGATTGGGGGTGGGGGGAGATGGCCTCTACAGGGAAATATCATTCATAGTATTGTCTTTTTGTAGGAGATAGGACACTTACTTGTTAATTTTTCAGATTGTCTGCTTCCACTTACAGATACATGCTGATTGTGGGTACAGAGTTTTAAAACATTGGCCATCCCTAAGTTCCAGTTCACCCCAATACCTGGCTCAGGTTTGATTTTATTAATAAGACTCTTTAAGATTCCTGCTACACTAAGTCTATCAAGGGAGTATTTCAAGTTATGACATTTGTCAAGGCACATTCTTTAGTCAGCATGATTCTCCACGACCATGGGTACTTACTACCGTACACCCATGACCTTATCAAATTTAAGGTATCAGATGGTGGTTCTTCATAATAAAATCTCCCCTCTCTGACAGCACTATGAGGTTGGAAAAGAACTTTTCTGTCTCTTGTCAATACCTGATTCCAACACACAACACAGCAGGTGGCTAGATTCATATGAACATATTTGTACATTAAGAACAAATGTTCTGGATTCTGTGTAATGTCACCAGACTCCAAAAAAGTTAGTAAATTTGTCAATGTCACTATGTCTTGTGGTATTAAGAAAGACAATAAAGTAAATGAGAACCAGTAAGTAAGAGATGTAAATATTAGAAAAATGAAGATACTTTTAGTAAACAAAGATTTGTCCTAAAGTAAGATGGTTATATATTTCTAGAATGGGAAAGATAAAGACAAAGCTTGGAAGCCCAAGAAGGTCACAAAGTTCTAAGTAGGTTATATAAGGTAAAAGATGAGATTTGGATATGATATACATGATGATAAAAAGGCTATTAAAATCTCTAAGGCCAAAGTGCAATCCTTTTTTAAAAATCAATGGCGTTCTCTTAAGTTATTGCTTTGTTCGTCATAGAATTTAGGACTGGCTTCAATAACAAAAGTATGTGTGATCAGCGTAACTACTCGGATAGCTGAGTCTCAACAACATCTAGATTTGTTTTAAAGATTGATTTTTGCCCAAGCTTCATCTAAATACTGCACAAAAGTTAAATGTTGCTTCTCTCCTTTGGAGGTTTACATAGCACCTTCTGAAGCTAGTCCTCAAGGAAGAGGCTCTCAGGACAGATCCAGCTTGTGTCCTTCTGGCCCAGTGTCCTAAGTGCATAGTGTCTTCAGAAATGGGGACTTACCCTCCACCTCTAAGAGGCAACCAAAAGCAACAGCAATAGCCTATAATGTTTGGGGATTCTCTTGGGTTCCCCTGACCAACAACTCAAAGCGGGGGCTTCTCAGACCTGGTGTTGGGTCTTTTTGTTAGATCGTTTATAGTTCTCGGACAAACATTGTCAGCCCAGAAATATTTTTCATTTAAACCATATGTGTATATTATACACACACCTATGTGTATTATATGAAATATTAGGTGGCTAACGATTCCTTTCAGACATCTTCACTGCTGTTTTACCCTCCTCTCTCCTTCATTATCTCCTCCCCTCCCTAATTAAAGTCCCTCTATTGTCCCATCCTCTCCTCAAATCACCTGTACCCTGCTATTTCCCTCCTGTTGCTCCCCACACCCCAAGGTCCCTTCTTACTCTCCTGGTTTCTGCGGTTACTCCAGGTTACACTCACATCTGAATTGTGAGCTAGGAGATGGATGAAAGAGAATATGTGACATTTGTCTTTGGGATCTACTTTACTTCATTCAGTACCATCTTTCCTAGTTCTAGCCATTTGCCTGAGATTTCATAAAAGAAAATGTCTTACATTTTCATTACCCTTTCATCAGTTGATTTTATATATATATATATATATATTTGATTTTATATATATATAAAATCATACATATATATGAACAATTAAAGAAACAGAGGTCATGAATTTGAGAGAGAACAAGGGGGTATGTGGGAATGATTGGGGGAATAAAGTAAAGGAGGAAAATGATGTAATTATTTTTAATTTCAAATAAAATATTATGGCATTGCTGTGGACTATTAAGTCCACAGGAATTTGAAACTATTGTCCATACACACAAATTTATTGGGGCTTAATCAATTTACACTTGAGATTTTGTTTAAAATGAATTGTTACATCTGGTAAAGACACCAAAAACTAAAACACTAAATCCAACAAGGTAAATAATTTAAGGGGAAGGGCTTACTTCTCTAGCTACAGGCTCTTGCCCTCATAAAATGTGGGACTGATAGAATTCCTAAACCAAAGAGCTCTTAAAGGTCAAATGTCAAGTTTGTTTTAAATGAGACAATTGTGAAGACCTTTCAGCTACTGTGACGATGTTCCATCAAGCAATTCTGCAATAAAACTTACTGTATCATTTCTGTATAAGAGAACATTGTTTCCAATGAGTATATGCTATCAGATGACCTCTACCAAAAAACACACTTATTGTACCCTGCTTCATTCATGTAACAAAAAAGGACATAGCTCTTTATTGTGAAATCATCTTAATGCAGATCCACCAATTATCTTCCAAACATTCCTTTCAAGTTTTTTTTAAACAAGTACCTCCCCTCCCAACCCATTTCTTTTAGGAATCTTGCTAAAAACTAGGTCTTCAATCTCACCATATATTTATCTTCCCTTCAGCGTTAAGAACCTCTGTTTGATTGCTTCAGTGGGCACTTATCCTACACAATATTGAGGTCCTTTAAGGCTTAGTAACTTCCAGTTTCTTGGCTTTGAATTTCGACCACTATTTGTGCAATGTTTACAGTATTCATCCTTCTACGCAACATATCTGACTGATTAGGCACATTGAACTAATACCCAACTACTACTTACTAGCAAATCACTTAATACTAAACTATGCTTCAGTTCCCCATATACTTTACAAGGTTCTTATATTTAAAACAATACTTGTTACATATTTTGATTATTTAAGTTTATACTAATATCTAGATTTACATAATTCCAAACTCAATATGCTATCATAAGTTGCTTCGTGAGGTCAAAAATTTACATGTATTTAATCCCCCTGTCTGGTTAACAGTCATGCATGTAAAACTGTTCTTGTTGAATTAATTTAGAATGCTCTGGGGTTGTTCTAAAGGAATATTGTAATTGTTCTCTAGTCATTTATCAAAATGTTAAGTTGCTAACAGTTCTCAAATTTTTGAACTAAAACAGCCCCCTAGTAACCAAGGACTCAAGACAGTTTGAGATAGGAATTAAAAATTCGATGCTGCAGCAGCTTTAATTGGCTCCCATTGCTTACCAAAAGTATTGTCTCAGGCTGAGGCCCTTTAGATGATTAGAGTCCCGAGCCCAGCTGACCCTATCTACTCTTGCCTGCTCTCACAGTAGACACAGGAGATACTCATTTGTTCATAATCAGTATAGGGCTTCACCTTATAGAGCCCCATCTTTCCAAGAAAGGTGCATTTAAGATTGCATACTAATTCTTTTTTAAAAAATTAACATATTTGTGTTTGTGTATGTGTGTTTGTATGTATGTGTGAACATTTATGCAATGAGAGGTCAAAGGACAACTTCAGCAGTCAGTTGTCTCCCTCTTCTGTATGGAGTGCAATGATCAAACTCTGGCCATAAGGCTTGACAGCAAGCTCCTTTACTCATGGAACAATCCTGCAGCCCTCTTGGATCTTAGTACTTCAACTCTTTTACATTTCCTCTGCAATGTATCCGTGTGGGTTTACTTTTACTCTCTTAATGGCTGATCAGTACCAAAGTGCTAAGAAGTGGTAACCATATTTATTTGCTGTATAGTTTAGGCTTCCTGGTAATTAATGCCTCAGGTATAGCAGTACTTCATGCTGAGAAAAGCAATCTTGGACTGAGTTCCCCTCAGGACGCTGCTTCTGCACCCTTCCACCAGCAACCTGCACTTAATAGTACTGAGGTCTTTAAAACTTCTGCCATAATATATATATAATTTTAAATTATGTGTATGTGCACATGAGTGCAGGTGCCTGTGGAATCCAAAATAGGGTGTTTATCCCCTGGAGCTGGAGTTACAGGCCATTAATATTCACTTCAAAGAAAGTCAAATTTGAATATATTCCATTATAGTCATGTATCAACTATATCCTAGTGAAGCCTGGAAGTAAATTTCCACTTTTCTCTAAAGTGAAGGTGTGCTAGAATACTAGCCAAAATAACCGGGTAGATTTTTGTTTTACATTTGTTTGTTTGTTTACTTATTTGTGCGTAGCATGTAAACATGCACATGCCACATTGTTTTGTAGCAATTTCCTCCAAGGTTGAAACATACTATCCAAGATTGAAACATACTATCCAGCAGAGAACCTCCTTAAGCCCAAGGTAAACAACTTGAAATAGCGCTAGGAAATACCGGAAACTGACCACAGTCACTAGCCCCGCCCCCTCCAGTGAACAAGACAAGCTGAAGCGATGACTCTCAGACCAGACTAGCTGACTGGAAGAGAATTGGACTGGGACACTTGGAAAGGACACTCTCCAACCTGTGAGCTGCCTGCAGGATGTGCAGCATGCTCCAGGTTCCCAGCTTCTGTGAGCTGTCACCTATGCTGGGGTGGACTTTGGTGATTCAGCTGTCTTTGAGTCAGTTCTGCTCCTGCAAGTAACCCCTCACCCATATTTTTTGAAAGAAACATCAATAAAATTCATTGGTTTACCAAGCTGGACTTTGGTGCTGTCTGTACTTTGGTCTGTCATGAACTCCCTATCTGGAATAAGAAGGCCTGGGTGCTGTGTCTCCCCAGGGACAGTTCTGTCACACAGAACTTCTTCACATCCTGTGTGTGAAGATCACAGGACAATTTTTCTGTACTCATTCCTCTCCTTTTATCATGTGGGTTCCAGGGATTAAACTCAGGTCATCAGCATTGTATGAGAAACATCTTTGTGTGCTGAGCCATCTCAACGGCCCTGTTTTGCTTTTTGAGATGGTAATTTTGGCCTGAAACTGGCGGAGACCCTCTCACCATGGCCACTCTACAGGGAATTACAGGCACGAGTCATCACACGCATTTTAAAACACGCACATTTCTAAAATACAATGCAAATATAATCAACAAAGGTGCTCCTATTAAAATTACTAGTCATCTTTCACCTATAAAATTCTTCAGTGTTTTATATTAATATCCTGCTAACCTGGGATCAATTTGTGATATGTATGTATATAATATATATACATATATCAAATATATATCATATAGACATATATATCAATCTACAGTTATATAAAAATAAATTATGAATTTATAATGAATAATTAATGCTATTAATCATGAATATAAGAATAAATTATAAATCCTCCTTATTCAAGGTAAGTTTTCACTGTCTTTTAAAAAACAATCTATGAGTTGGGCAAGGTAGCACATGCATGTGAACCCAGCTCTTCAGGAGCTGAACCAGTAGGATTATTGAGCTCCGGGCCAGGCTAGGTTCAATAGTGAGGCAAACAAACAAAACTAATAATAATAAATGTTTTTTAAATTATAATTTGAAAATATAGTAGATCTGCTGCCTTGCCATATATAAGTACAACTGGATATAGGGTTGTTTTGAAACTCGCCCGTAGACTGTATCCCATGCCCAGGGGTCCTCACAAGAGGGGGTGCATAGGATGGAGGAAATACAGCAGGAACCTCACCCCGCCCACTGTGGCCCCTCAGAGAACCCCGTGGAGAGTGCAAAACAGTAGTTTGGGCCCTGGACAGTGCTGAGGCCTCCATCAGGGCCTCTACCAGGGAAGGCTGTGACTTCGCCCTGGAGCCTAGGAAGATGGCGGTACCCAGGACCACAGGGTCTCAACCCCAGCGCACAGCTTACCGTGAGCCCCCGACCCAGTTCATCTCTCTAGAGCTTCCGGTGCTGGGCCCTCGCAGCTCGCACACAGAGAGCCACCCCCGCTAGCCAGACAGCAGCCTGGGTTTCTCCCGACGGCCACTGCGTGCGAGCACCTTCCGGTGTGGCACCTGGCCCTCCTCCGTGCACTTCCGGTGAGGCGCCCACGACCACCGACCACCGTGCTTTACCATCCGGTTCTGTGCTGGGCCATCAGCTCACGAGCTGGACTTGGAAAGGGCCACTAAAGGTATCTGAACGCGGAGGTGACATTGCCATTCCGACTTGTCACGCCATACCCAAGTTCTTGGCACGAATTTGGAGTACAGTTTCAATATTTAGAAAGCATTGTTGAGAAGAAACATCACGCCCAACTAACTTAACTATTGTGTACGTTTTGTGAATCCTCCAAAGAGCTATACAGAGCTTTGATGAGCCGTGAAAGTCTTAAGACTTTAAATTCCTCTCTGAGCAACAACAGCAATAAAAGTCCCAAAACAAAAAAAAAAAAAAAAAAATGGATTTTTTTTCCTGTTCATTTCTGTGTGGTTTTGTAGTCTTTACAAAACATTCCTCTTCCAAATCGTCATGGCTGGGTTAAAAATGAGAAGTTTCTTGTCCCGAATAATGCACAAATTATTTTTTTTAGAATTGCCGTTAACTTTTTTTTTTAGAAAAGCGTCAAAATATAATGCTTAAGTTGTTAAGAATAGTACCTAAATTACATACATCTTCTTTAAGAATATTAATCCTAATTTTTATAATAAAAACCACATTGTATATGTAATTGAATCAAAACAGGTGAATTCAGCATTTCAGAAAAATTATGGAATGCCTGTTGATTTTTAGTTAACCATGCAGTCAAAGCAGGAACAATAAACCTACATCTCCTATTTATGTTCTAAAACTTTGTTGAATAACTAAAAGGGGAAACTTTTTAGGTAATAGATTTTTTTCTTTTGCTTGAAGGGACACAAAAAGTTTGCTTGTTTCCTGAGGAGAGTGAAGGTTTCCTGAGAACCTAGATAAATTATTTCTTCTCCCTGACTAGAATCCCTCTTTTACTCTTAATCACAGGAGTGCACTAGGAGTGTGAACCAGGCTACAGATTAACCTTGAGACATAAGCTTAGACAAGATATTGCCATTTTTCCTTCACAGTACGTGATATCTCCATAGGAACATAGGCACACTTAAAGTGTTGACCTAGGATGTTATCGTCAATGTTGTTTATGCCTTCAATAAGTAAGGCTATTATAACTGATACATAGAGTTTAAACACCACTATTTAAGGGCCAACATATCAATTAGGTAATCATTTGGGTTTGAAGGCAATTCAAGAAAACAGTGTGGTATAAATAAAATATGTCTTATTATTTTTGAGAAGAAAAAATCCCATTTAAACTTCTTAAAACTTAAATAATTTATCTTTTATTTCTAAAGATTGTCTACTGATTTATAATGGAAACAAAGACAAACTGCTTCATATATTTATAGATACAGTTCTCTTCATTAGAAAAATGTTTCATACTTTATGAAACATTATATATATTCAATTTCCAATTCTGCTCTTGATAATGGTGATCCATGAGAATATCACACTTTTTAGAGCAGATTGGTTTAATTATTGCATTTTGAAACAATTTAAATTTTTTTTAAATTTTATTTGTGTGGATGGGTGTTTTCCCTGTACATATGTATGTGTGTACCACTTTCATGCCTAAATATCCTCAGGGGCCATAAGAAGGCATGGGATCCCTGGAACTGTTGTTACAGATAGGTGTGAGTCACCATGTGTGTGCTAGGAACCTAGGTCCTCAGCAAGAACAGCAAGCGCTCCTAACTGCTTAGCCATCTCTCCAGCCTCCTGCATTTATAAATTATAAAAATTAATGTCAAATATTTTTCTCAGATTATTTATCCTCTTGAGAAAAACATTAATACTTCCCATATGAAATTTCATAAAATCCAGAAGCTTGAGTGGAAATTTAATAATGCTTACTACAATAACAACTGGTAATTTTTTCAGTTCCTTTTTTCTCTCCTAGTTTGGAAATCAAACTAAAATTAACTTTCTCTTTGCTTTAATTGCTTACTACCAATATAAAAAATTAAAAGAAACTTCCTAGCAATTGTTATGGAATACTAGTTTGAGATGTGTTACATTCATTTATGCTGTGGAACATTTGTTTGATGATGCAAAGATGTGTTGCATTCTTTTATGTTGCATTTGTTTAACTCTGTGAAGCTGTGTTACTTTGCCTGTCTAAAACACCTGATTGGTCTAATAAAGAGCTGAACAGCCAATAGCAAGGCAGGATAAGGAATAGGCAGGGTTGGCAGAAAGAAAGAATAAATAAGAGGAGAAATCTGGGAAGAAAAGATTGAGGTGCAAGAACAAGGAGAGGAGGACACTTAGGACCAGCTACCACATAGCCACACAGCCACATAGTCACACAGCGAGCCACAGAGTAAAAGTGAAAGTAAGATACACAGAAGTAAGAAAAGGAAAAAGCCCAGAGGCAAAAGGTAGACAAGAAAATTAAAGTTAAGAAAAGCTGGCTATGCCGGGCGGTGGTGGCGCATGCCTTTAATCCCAGCACTCGGGAGGCAGAGGCTGGCGGATCTCTGTGAGTTTGAGGCCAGCCTGGGCTACCAAGTGAGTTCCAGGAAAGGTGCAAAGCTACACAGAGAAACCCTGTCTCGAAAAACGAAAAAAAAAAAAAAAAAAAAAGAAAAGCTGGCTAGAAATAAGCCAAGCAAAGGGTGAGCATTTATAAGTAAGAATAAGACTCCATGTGTATATTTATCTTGAAGCTGGGTGGCAGGTCCCCAAAAGAGTCAAAGAGCAAAAAGTAAAAACAACCAACTACAAGCAATCTTAATGTCTTACTTTAAAAGAATATGTAACCATGCATTGTTTAACAATGGGAATAAATTTTGAGCGTTAATTTTAGATGGTTTTATCATAGGTCAAACATAAAGTGGATTAGCCCAAAACTAGTTAGAATGAATAAGTTATTTTGTATTTTCTCTTGATGCATGTAACTAAGAGATACAATTAACATGAGAAGTATGGAACTGCCACTGGTATAGCATAGCATACTGTTTTATAATAAGCCATTTTAAACAGTCAGGGGTACCCTGCAAATCAACAATTAAAATGGTATAGTAGATACATGAACCAGCAACATTATCATAATAAGCCAGTATATGGTATTTATGTTATACTATGTTCAAGAGCACAGCAATTCACTTTACCACATCATGGATTCAAATACACAAGTAATGCTTTATGCTATGGCATTTAAAGCTACAATGTCAATAGGCAATAGGGAATTGTTCCGTTCTTAGTTGTCACAGGACCATATATAAATGTGGTCTATTGTTGACTGGAATGTTTTGTGGCATGTTTCCTATCTTCTTTCCCCTCATGTAGAACCCTTCCTTTGCCCTATTTGAAGCCTTGAGCCTAGTCTTAAGTCTTAGGATCCACCCTCCCCCATTTGGAGCAGTGCAGAGTGGAGGATAATAGTGGGATTTAAATGATCATAGGTCTGTGCTAAACTGGCTCACTCTTAAGTCAAATCACACACTGATTTTTTTCATAATTCTAATAACTGACCTTCAAGCTCCCTTGTACCACAATTCTCATTCCAATTTTTTTTATCTTGATTACCTAATTCTTCTCGCAAGTCTCTTCCCTCTGTAATTCAAAGGTTGCTTCTACTAGCCCATTATATACCAATATATCCATTATCTGGCCTGCTGTTTTAGTCAGGATTTCTATTGCTGTGAAGAGACTCCATGACCGTGGCAGCTGTTATAAAGGAAAACATTTAACTGGGGTTGGCTTACAGTTTCAGAGGGTCAAATCATTTATCATCATGGTGGAAAGAATGGCAGCACGCACACAGGCAGACATGGTGCTGGAGAAGAAGCTGAGAGTTCTACATCCAGATCTGAAGGTGGCAGAAAAAGAGAGAGGGACTGGGCCTGGCTTTGAATCCTCAAAGCTCACCCCCAGTGACACTTCCCACAACATGGCCATACCTCCTAACAGTACCACTCCCTGGTGAACAAGCATTCAAATACATGAGTCTAAGGGGGCCATTCCTATTCAGACCACACACCTACCTACTAGAGCTAATAGTATCTATAGTTTTAGTGTTCTTTCCACCTAGATTTCCTGCTTACTGTCTCTTCTCTGATACGGCTGCTTCTTGTTTGCCAGTGATATAAGCTACTTCTTCCACGGCCAGCTGCCATATAACCTAGGCATCCAGCTTGAATGAACATCTTGCCTGTACCCCAGTTGGGTATATACTGGCCCCTGTCCTGTCCAGTTACAGTGAACCCATCCATGTTTAGCTACCAGGAGATGTGACATAAATGATTCAGTTTTATGCATGTAAAACAGTCTCATTGTCCACATATCAATAGCATGATCCAAGAAGTAAAATATCCTTTTCAGTAGCCGTTATGACTCAGTGATCTTCACATGTGGGCTTAGAAAATCAACCCCTTCCCCAGTGTTGTGACTCAACAATCTCAAAGCCTCAGGAATGCTAGGCAAGCACTTTGTTACAAAGCCACACAACAGCCCAGAAAGTCTTTTTTTTATTTTTTAATTAAAATATAATTACATCCCCATCAAAGTTTATCTCTCTCCTATGTCCCCAACTGCCTCTCAAATTCATAGCTTCTTTTTTTAATTGTTATTGTTTTACACACACACACACACACACACACACACACACACACACACACCTGCATAAATATATAAATAAAGCCTGCTGTGTCCATTTAGTGTTGCTTGAATGTATATGATTTCAGGGCTGAGCACTTAGTATTGGATTACCAGTTAAGGAACTCATCCCTGGGGAAGACTAGTTCTCTCTCTCTCTCTCTCTCTCTCTCTCTCTCTCTCTCTCTCTCTCCCTCTCTTTCTCTCTCTCTCATCTCCTTAGTTGCCTGTAGTTCTTTGTCTAGGGGTAGGGTCCCCTTGAGAGTACCACTTCCCCATTAGCATGTCTATTGGTGTTGTGTCTGTTCAGATCCTGTTTAAGCAGATATACTGTTTAGGAATCTTGAGTAAAGCTTCCCTATTATTTCTAGGAAACATACTCTCACCGCAGAATTTCTGGTCCCCTGGCTTTTCCATTCTTCTGGCTCCTCTACCTTGATGTTCCCTGGACCTTAGGTGCAGGAGATATGCTGTAGTTACATTCATTGACAGACCAGAAAGTCTTAATAGCATGATTGAGTGTGCTGCTAATATGACCAAATACCAAAAATGAGTGCATGCATTTCTCACTCATATATTGGTAAATCTGTTGAGTTGAATGTAAACAAATGACCTCTGTATAATGATTCTTAAAATTAATATCTGTATAGCAAAGAGCTTAAAAGAATACTATTTTTAAAAATTATTGTAATTCTTTGGTTCATGCCTAACTGAACAATGAAGATCACTCAACATTGGGGCACATATTCTAGCACTGAGGTTTGCAGTCTTCTATATTAAAGGATTCTTAGCTTAAGGGTCATATAACATGTAGCAGGTTAAAATCGGCAGTTCTAACTTACCATGCTGTGTTCTAGCTTGAACACACACACATCTTTGGGATAAGTAGAAGTGCAAGTCAGTTGTTGGGAAGACAGAAGAAAGGAATAGAAAAAAGGTCTATCATGCAAAACCACATTTGCTTTGCCTTTAAAAAAGACCTTCACGTTTTTAAATATGAAAAGTTTTGCTTGACTATTGACTATTTCACTAGGATTGTGAATAATTTTTTTAAACACGCTTGATTTTTATCAAATAGCAAAAAATGTCCCTAGGAAGAAGCCAGTAGATTACCTCTAAGCCTAAAGAAAAACTTGAGGAAAAAATGTTTTGAAGCAATGCGTCCCTTAAAAAGTCTTTTCCCTCATGTAATTCCAGCTCAATTCCCAGCTGATTAAATTCTTATTATAGGGTTGCATTACCTCCAAATAAAAACGCAAGGGAATTTTTAAAGCCACTTTGTAAACAAATATGAGTGTGTCAGGTCAACATTGCTAGAAGTGACAACCGTGGAGGGAGAAGATTTTTATTATCCAGACAAGTTAATGCCGGGGAGCGTGGGGGAGAAGGGCTCTGAGTGTAGCGGGTTACGGGTAACCCTTTTCTGCAATACGCAGCTTGCCTCCCGTTTATTTACAAGGGATACCCTCGGTCACAATGTATCTAATAGGTTCTGGGAAGATCTGAGAAAACGGAAACAAGGGCACGCGGGGGTGGGGTGGGAGGGGTGGAGACACATTTTCAGAACAAAACATTCTCAGGGATCTGACTTTGCTACTTTGTTTTGTGGCTCTAGCGTTTATCACTCTCTTGTCTGATTCCTTTCACTCGGCCGGTTCCGTTAAACCTCTTGTGACTCCACCATCCTCTCTCTCGGTCTTTCTCTCTCGGTTCATGAAAGCTCCTGCCAATCTTCCTGTCCGCCTGGAAATCTTAGAGACGGGATGTATATTCTGAAACTTCTGAGTGTTTCTAAGTGACGCTGAGCATGCTCAGTAGCTCAAAGGCAAGGTTTGTTCTCCAGCCGCTGACCTGATTCGACCTCTCCAGAAATAGACATTTAACTCTCTGAACCCCTGTTTAAGTATAGAATTCGTTTGGGCGCTCTCTTCATTTTTAAGGTTCAAAGGGAAGAGGCGAAGATTCCAGGGTCTTACCGCCCTCGCAGCCAATGAGGGAGCCCGGGGGGAGGAGCCTGGCGAGCTGTAGCTGATGAGAGACTCGCCCCCAGTAGATGCGGTGGAGTTTGAGCTTTGCTGCATCCGTCACTGAAGAACAAAATAAAGAGTAGAGGAGACAGGCTGCAGAGCATGGGAGGCAGTGGGGCTTTCTGAAACGTTTGCTGGGCTTTCCGCGGAGCATGAGCTTTTAAAACGAATTCTTTCTTTTAAAAGAAACTCATTTGTGTAGCTGGGAAAATGATACATATGCTAAATGCAGCAGCCTATAGGGTGAAATGGACCAGATCCGGTGCTGCTAAGAGGGCTGCCTGCCTGGTGGCTGCGGCATATGCTCTGAAAACCCTCTATCCCATCATTGGCAAGCGTTTAAAGCAGCCTGGCCACAGGAAGGAAGCAGCAGCAGCAGCAGCAGCTTACCCGCCTGCAGAGAACAGAGAAATACTGCATTGCACAGAGATCGTCTGTAAAAAGCCTGCGCCGGGACTGAATGCAGATTTTTTCAAACAGCTACTAGAACTTCGGAAAATCCTCTTTCCAAAACTTGTGACCACTGAGACAGGGTGGCTCTGCCTCCATTCGGTGGCTCTCATCTCAAGAACATTTCTTTCTATCTATGTGGCTGGTCTGGATGGGAAAATCGTGAAGAGCATAGTGGAAAAGAAGCCTCGGAGTTTCATCATCAAATTAATCAAGTGGCTTATGATTGCCATCCCCGCCACCTTTGTCAACAGTGCTATCAGGTACCTGGAGTGCAAACTGGCTTTGGCTTTCAGAACTCGCTTAGTAGAGCATGCCTATGAAACCTATTTTGCGAATCAGACTTATTATAAGGTGATAAATATGGATGGGAGACTGGCAAACCCTGACCAGTCCCTCACTGAAGACATTATGATGTTCTCACAATCTGTGGCTCACTTGTATTCCAACCTTACCAAACCTATTTTAGATGTAATCCTAACTTCCTATACCCTCATCCGGACTGCTACATCGAGAGGAGCAAGCCCAATAGGGCCCACCCTGTTAGCCGGACTTGTGGTGTATGCCACTGCGAAAGTGCTGAAAGCTTGCTCTCCCAAATTTGGTACCCTGGTGGCTGAAGAAGCTCATAGGAAAGGCTATCTGCGGTATGTCCACTCGAGGATTATAGCCAACGTGGAAGAAATTGCCTTCTACAGAGGACATAAGGTAAGACAACGGATGAATTAAAGCAACGGGTGAAACGTGAGCCCGTCCAAGCAGCCGCTGCACGGCTAGATACCATCTGTTGTCCTATTGACAGGCCCACTTTCTGGGCATTTCAGAGTCCTCTGGTAGCTAAACTGGTTCTAATATATATATATTGCATGAGCCCTTTAAATCACCAACTGTTAGAGAATTAAAGAGCCCAAACTTTATGAAGTTTCATGAGAATAAAAGTTCAGACTCTTAAAGAGTCTACAGAGCCTGTTACTCAAATATACCTGAAATGGCCTCAAAGGCATTTCCTGATAACTTAAATACTAGCTTGGTGAGTGGCTCTGTACATGTGAAGGAAATGCATATTTGGGAACTAAGAGTAAACTTCTTTGGATTGAGATGGAGGTGTTAGGGTCGTATTCTTTGTTCTTTTGTGTCCAAGAGAGGGAAACTGCTTTCAAAGAGAAAACAGTTTGGACCATTTTTCAAGACTGATCAATGAGCAAGTGTCCTGAAACGTAAGAAATGCAGAGGGGTGTCTAATGAAATGGCATTTCCTTTACTTTTAGTTCATGTTGAGCATCTACTTTTGACAGAGATAATTACATTTTGCATAGTAAAGAAGTAAAAACGAAGATTAGGAGGACAGAAGTAGGTAGAAACACTAGGGTAGTATTTTTAAATGTTATGGATCTTCAACAGGAAAATAATTAGCCCAGGTACATAAAATTGTGGCATGTTATAGTTGCTTCAGGATGTAGAATATGATATAAATTTGGGGGTGGAACATATGAAATCTTAATATCAGTGGTTTGGCGATGTATAATGAAGTCCTTAAAGATATATTTTAATTACCAAACCGAGTGATGTACTTTTTAAAGCATCAAGAATTATCACTGCTTCTTTTCAACAGCAGAACCAACCCAAAGAAAAGTTTAAAACTAATTTAGGACCTCTATTCTCACTTGGAATTAACTATGGGTGTTGGGTGAATTATGTTGATTTGTTATTTTTGAATCATTGAACTCAATGGAAATTAGTGGATTCCTTGCTTAAAAGACAAAACCTGGGAAAGTCTAATTATACGTGTTTTGTATGTTTTGGGATAATTTTAGTATCCTCAACAATGATATGGGTTTAACATTGCTTACCCATATCTTTATAGAATATTATTTAATTTTAACACCTTAAAATTTAAAATCAAATTATGTATCTTATGTATCTCTCTGTCTCTGTTCATTTTATATCTGTCTGCCTGCCTTCCTCCCCACCACTCTCTCTCTCTCTCACTGTGTGTGTGTATGTGTGTGCCTCTCTATGTCTGTCTGTCTGTCTCCCCCATCTCCCCCCCACACACACACACACAGAGAAAGAGAGTTAACTGTTGAGAATTTTTCCTTGGGCCTCATGTATGTCAGCAACAGGCAAGTGTTCTTACACTGGACTTTGCCCCATCCCACTCATGTGTATTTCAAACAATATTTACTGAATACCACGTTTTAAAAAATAATACCAGTGTAGGCTAAACTATATCATGACTAATTCTAATATCTAGTTACATTTATTGGTTATAGAACTGTAGCGACAGTGGCTATGCTAAGTAAAGCAAAATAATATACTCATATCATTAAAGAGAATCTTTGAGTAATTACAGAATTTATTCCCGTAGTTCATGCTGGATTAATTCTTATATTTTTCTCCTTTCAGGTAGAAATGAAGCAACTGCAGAAAAGTTACAAGGCTTTAGCTTCCCAGATGAACCTTATTTTATCCAAGCGTTTGTGGTACATCATGATAGAACAGTTCTTGATGAAATATGTGTGGAGCAGCTGTGGACTGATTATGGTGGCTATACCCATTATCACTGCAACAGGCTTTGCGGATGGTGGTAATAACATCCATACTTAATCTTAACTAGATGCTTAACATTGTTTCCCTTTAAGATGCCATTTAATGTCCCATGTGTGTCTGTGTAGACAGCCACTGTCTATAGTTATTTGTACTTAGAAACAGTGGCAGTTTTCAGTGTTTGATAATGAGTCCATCAGTATGAAAGGAGCAACAGGCGGCTCAAAGAACCTTGCCAAGGAGGTCTCTGACATAATGTCTCTGGAAGTCTATCTGGAATAATTTTAATTACATTGCCCAGTGACTTTTCAGTTTATAGTTAAGCACAAAGTGAACATATTCCTTCAAAAAGAGTATGACATAAGCTCACCTCATGTTTTGTCCTTAACATCTTATGGATCAAGCATATAAATTTTCTGTAACTGAATTTGCCCTGATTTGTGATTTGGAAGTTGGTTGGCTTACGTTAGATAAGCAGGAGTGTCATGGAATGGGTTCTCTGTTTACATAGAGACGTTCCCATGACATGATTTGGTGATGTTTGTGGCAGCCAGGCCAGTGCATATCAAAGCCATAGCTATCTAATTCTGTCCTCTTTCTCTCAACAGTTCTTTTTTTTTAAAGCAACTTTTCTTCTTTTGGTATAGCTAAGGAAGAGAAGGGCAAGAAGGACAATGTTGCCGTGCTCTTCCTGTATGAAAGCTTGGATCTTTACTGTTAGGAATGACGGGATGACAGTTAGAGCTCAGCTTCCATAGATCCACATTCAAGGATTCAGCCAAGCACAGAGCAGACATGGGAATCCAAAGCCAACACAGAGAAAAATCTGTCCATAATCAACCAGTCCTTTTTATTCCCTAAAGAATTCAGTGTAACAACCGTTTCCATAGCATTTGCATCACATGAAGTAGTGTAAATTATTTACAAAGTATTGCAAATTTTTATTTAAAAGTTGCCAAATTTGACTCATTATTAAGCTAAATATAGTCATGTCGGTGAGCTGTGACCTGTCAGTCCTTCTTTATGGTCAGCACTAAACACATAACGAATACACTCCATGAGTGACTAGCCGAATCGGAGCTCTGAGCATTGATTGTTATTGCTCGGATGTGTTCAGATTTACCAAGAAATAATTGTAGATTTATATTGTAAAAGGTGTTCTTCGTAATAGTGTTCAAGACATAACTACCTTTCCAAAGGAGTGTTTACCGTGATAAGGAAGACACTGAAGAACATATGATCTTAAGATGGGCTTTGCTAAGGAATTTGGCAAAATATAAATTAAAAAGTTATCTCTTAAGCTAATAACATTCACTAGAAAGTTTCATGTTTAATGTACATTAGAGACAGTCCCAACAAGAAGATTATAATACAATGTTGTTAGCAGTGTTTGGTCTTATTAGGAAACCCTAGTGTAATCCACACAGAAGAGAAAAAAATGCAGTTATTAATGGTGACAAATTAACCCCACTGAGGCTAGTAAGAAGTAAACATGTACGCTATGAAACTAACTAGCTTACCTACCAAGAGGTAATGGGGTGTCTAAAAATAACTCCTACAAATCAGACAATACCAGCTGAAAGAAACATTTTATGTTGGCATTGTAAGTGAAACAAAGTGTCATGTAAAGCTCATTCCAAAGATGATCTTGCAGAGGTGGGCAACGTAAAATCCTCACAGAAGAGAAATGAATGTTTCAAAGTTTGTAAACTTAAGGTTGCTGTATGTGTATGGTGAGCCCACTCTACTAACTGTATTTGACCTCTGGTGACTTAACAAGTGAAAAATACCATTTCACTCAGTGAAACATTTTCTTTTCAGATACTGATATCACCTTCAGATATAGAAATTGTATGTTGTATTCTCTAATATAGTCTTAAATTTTAATTTAAGCCTGGGTGTGGTGGTGCAAGCCTTTAATCCCAGCACTCTGGAGTCAGAAGCAAGTGTATTTCTGTGAGTTCCAGGACATCCAGGGTCTATAAGTCAAGCTTCAGGACAGCTACTAGGGCTATGTAGAAAGACCTATCCATATATATATATATATATATATATATATATATATATATATATATATAGAGAGAGAGAGAGAGAGAGAGAGAGAGAGAGAGAGATACATATATATGTATATATATATATTGAGTCTAATCACTTAGTTGTCTCTCATGTTACAGATAAAATAATTGCACGGTACTATATGTTTTAAGGCATAAGAAGATGGAAAATGAATGAAACAATGGCTTGAGACATGGCCAGTGGTTAAGAGCACTTGCTGCTCTTACAGGGAACTAGAGTTCTGTTCCCAGCATCCCTGTTGCATACCTCATGGGTGCCTGTAACCCTAGTTCCCGTTCTGGCATCCTTTTCTGGCCTGTGTGGGCAGCATCTGTCCTCCCTTGCACATACCCACCTGCCCCCACACATATGCATAATTAAAAATTTAGAAAGTATGAAAAAGAATAGCAAAGAGGATGAGTAATCTATAGGGGAAATGGGTATATGTGGTGGGGATAGAAAGAGAGAAGTAGGGAAATCCTTGGCCTGATTTAACAGTTAACCAAGCCTTGGGAAGACTACCTAAATTTAGAGGCCCCAGATTTCTTAACCATGTGGCTAATGACACATATCATTTAGAGTTGCTGTGAAATTATAATGTACCAGTGTGCTTTGAAACAGTCCTTGTTAAGTATAAACAGCAAGCTACCAGTTCTTGTCAGCATTTATTACAGTCCCAGCCTGTGGGATCTGGATTAGAGTGCTTGAGCTTAAAGGCATGCTCTTCTGCCTACAAGTGACTCTGGGAAAGTCATTCCACTTTTTTTGTGGTTCAAATTCCTCATATCCAAAATAGGGAAAGTTAGCAGGATTGTCGTAAGGATTAATGCAAAACTTAGTATGGCGTCTGCTCATAGAAAATAATTAATGGGCATTTGTTGATAGCATCACTGTTGTTTAAAGAGGCGAGGGTATGAAAGTGACTAGGAAGTCAGAAGTCAGACTGTTTGGAGGGAGGAAAAGGTAAGCAGCAGCTGTTGTAGGTCTACTTGGCCACCCTTTTACACTGTCAAGTGAGCATTCGTAGTAAGGACAGGGTATTTACACTGAAAACAAAGTTACTTCTAGAACATGCTGTTTTTTTCTCTTCAGAAGAGGGCCTCAGAGCCTCTAGTCTAGAGATCCTGACTTGTCTGTATTCAGATGTGTAGTTAGGTGGAGCTCTGGGGATGGGAGACACTGTGTAACTCCTGGTACCCTGCCTTTTCGCCACCACACTGAGATACACCCTGTAAGTTGACAGTCATGATGGGCCAGCCACTGAAATGGAAACATTGGAGTCTTCAATTACTATTCTGTTTATTATTTTAAGGCTATGCACCCCTTTCTTTGTTTTAAGAGAAAGACAAAATACGCAAGAAAACATGTTAGTGGTGATTTTGTTCTTCACATAAGAATCAAATGTGCTGACCTGAGAAAAGATAAGTGAGCATTTTAGGTCATGGATTTATATCTCTGACATTAAGGAATCTGGCCTTGTCAGAGAGGCCAGGCCCTTAACGGTTCATGCAGGGTTATCATTACTGGCGCTGCTTCCATGGTACCTGCCAAAGAACAAGGTAGTTTAAAAGTTACACACTGTGAGAAAATATTTACTTTGTTGCTAAAAGCGTAAAGAAAACCCAGAAGGCCTTCATCTGCCAAAGCAACAGGGGAGCTATGATTCCTTATCAACCTCTAGTCCATCTGTGCAAATGGTTTTTTGTTGTTTTTGTTGTTCTTACCAGAGATCAGTGAAAGGTCAAACCCCTTTTAACCCACATTCATAAAAATCCAGTGATTAGTTGAGATGGTTAGCCAGATGGTCAAAATCCAAACCTTTTCTTAGTTTTAGCTCACAGATGAATTCACTATGTCAGTAGCTAGTTGAGAATCCTATAGAATTTTTCTATTGGTTATCTACATCCCACTATACATTTAAATATATCATCAAAATTTCTAGAGCCAAGCATGTGCTGCACAACTATAACCCTAGAACTTAGGCGGCTGAGGCTGGAGGATCACAATGTAAAGACTCAGTCAGTTTGGTCTATGTAGTGAGAAGAAATCAAATGTGTACATTCCAAGGGACTGACAGAGAAGGGCATGTTAGTGATTCAGCTGAACAATGGGATGAAAAATGTTTGAGAAAAGAGGAAAATACCAAAAATATGAGGGCCGGACTAGTTCAAACTCCTGTTACAGGAACCAGACCATAATTTTTTTTAATTTGTATTCTAGTTAGTAGGTTGGTGCAAGTGGATGGGTATGTGGTGTATGTACATGTTTGCATGGGCCTGTGCATGTATGCACATGGGTGTATGTATGCATGTAGGTGTATATGGGCATGTGGGTGCATGTGTGTGAAGATCTGAAGTCAATGTCAGGCATCTCTTGAGATAACTCTTCACCTTTATTTTTTAATGTTGATTTACTTTTAATTTTGTTTTTTGTTTTTTGTTTTTTGTTTTTCGAGACAGGGTTTCTTTGTGTAGCTTTGCGCTGTTCCTGGATCTCGCTCTGTAGACCAGGCTGGCCTCGAACTCACAAAGATCCGCCTGCATCTGCCTCCCAAGTGCTGGGATTAAAGGCGTGTGCCACCACCGCCCGGCTACTTTTAATTTTTAAAATAAAATTTTTTATTATTTAAAATTATCATACATGTATACATATATTACTGTGTGTGTGTGCACACGCGCGTGTGTGTGTGCGTGTGTGTGCGTGTGCATGTGTATGTGTGTGTGTGTGTGTGTGTGTGTGTGTGTGTGTGTGTGTGTGTATGAATGCAGGCACATATGTACCACATCATGTATGTGGAGGTGAGAAGACAGCTTTTGGGAGATGGTTCTCCTACCATGTAGGTTCTGGGGATCAAACTCGGGTATTAGGCTTGGCAGCAAGTGACTTAACCCACTGAACCGTCTCAACAGCAACCCCTCCCTCCCTCCCTTTCTTCTTCTTCTTCTTCTTTTTTTTTTTTTTTAACCTAGAGTTCATTGATTTATGCTGGCTGGCCAGTGAGCTCCAGAGACCCTCCTGCTCCTCCAGTGCTAACTTGACTGCCATACCCGGGTTCCTTTATAGAGTGTGTGTACATGGGATCCAAACTCAGGTCCTCCTCATGCTTGCACAGAAGGCACGTGACTGAGCCATTTTCCCAGGTCCCTCAGTTTAGTACTTCCATTGAGACTGTCAGGAGAGTTTGTTACACAATTGTGATAGTAGCAGAAAGCTGGGTACAGGAATGGTCTAAAGGAAGCTAAAAGAGAATAGCCTAATGCCTGTAGATTGAGTTGTGCTAACTCTTGTTCTAAATAAATAATATAGAACAGAACTTCTTTCTTTCTTTCTTTCTTTCTTTCTTTATTTATTTATTTATTTATTTATTTATTTATTTATTTATTTTGGTTTTTCGAGACAGGGTTTCTCTGTGTAGTTTTGATGCCTGTCCTGGATTTTGCTCTATAGACCAGGCTGGCCTTGAACTCACAGAGATCCACCTGGCTCTGCCTCCCCAGTGCTGGGATCAAAGGCACCACCACTCAGCCAGAACTTCTAATAAAACCTAATACATGATATTCATTATATTTAATAATATATAATAATTAAATATATTTCTAGGAAGTTGCTGGTAGTAGTGAAATATTGTTATTTTAGCCATAATTTAATTAATACAAAATAAGACAATTACTTGGAAAGAAAAAAACCCTCAATATTTCTGTGCTTTCTTTCCTCTTAGATTTGGAGGATGGCCCAAAGCAGGCTATGGTTAGCGATCGGACAGAAGCCTTTACTACTGCCCGAAATTTATTGGCCTCTGGTGCTGATGCCATTGAAAGAATTATGTCTTCATACAAAGAGGTATTTGAATTTCTTGCAAATTTGCTTAAAATATGAAAGCATCTGAAAATAAAGTAAGGTGTAGATTATGAAGTATGCATAACATTTTAGAAACGGTTTTTTTTCTCTCTCTCTTTATTCAAAACTGCCAAGAGTATAATTGAGATCAAGGGCAGCAACTCTGAAGTGAGGTGTATGGTTATTTCTGTTTACAAGCATGATTTTAATTGATTTTAAATGAAGAGAACAAAAAATAATCGCTCTTGTGTGGCCTCTAGAGCCCATGCCTAATTTACATTCAGACTTCATCATTTACAAATCACACGATCTCCTCAAGCTCCTTGTCCGTCTGGATCCCTGTTTCCTTCATTGTAAATTGGGGTGATGACAGCAAGGATTTTACAGGGTGTTAAAAGTTCATAATGTGGGATACTTATGTCAGTGCATTTCAATGCTCAATAGGCATTAGTTAATAATACCACTTTACATCTTGCAAACTTTGCTCATCCTTCATTGGTGAAGTCTCACCAATAATACATAATACCTCATGATTCCACTTCTTCTAGCAGCCTTTGAAGCTCCTGGGTGGGCTTCTCAGTCCCTGTCACTTTACCACAATATGGTTCTCTCCCCTGTACCTGACCCCAAGCTCTCTGATCACAGGGAATGTCATGCTCATCTTTTCATTCCTAGAATTCATTCTAATACTTAGGTATGTAGCTAAGAAGTATTTTAAAAAAAAAAAAAAACCTGTAGCTAACACTGGGTTAAGATTAAAAAGACTATTCAATTCAGGTATTTCTAACATTCTATTAATTAGTCTTGCAGATCATAAAGGAATATGAATTGCTCAAGTACTATTGCAAATTTATCTTCTAATTTAATTAAAGTACAGTGCATGATACAGCTTCAAAGTTTCTAAGTTTATTACAGAACTGATTTATTGAATTGAATTTTTTCCGTCTTAAAACCAATAGTTCAGTACCACTTATCGAAACTACTCAATTTTTAAAAATTCAAACAGTAATTTTAAAAACCTAGGGACAAAGTCTTGGGGATAGTTTTTTTAAGTAATTCACTTTAATATTAAGCAATAAGATATTTACTGTTAAAATTAAATGATGACAGGCAGTGGTAGCACATGCCTTTTATCCCAGTACTTGGTGGGTAGAGGTAGGCAGATCTCTTGGGAGTTCAGGGCCAGCCTGGTCTGCAGAGTGAGTTCCAGGACAGCCAGGGCTCCACAACAAAACTCTGTCTTGAGTTGGGAAAAAAAAGCAATAAATAAATATGACAAAACAATTTACCCATCTCACATTAAAACATGCTAAGTCACAGAAGGACCATCATTTAACCATTCTAGATTATCTCCAATGATAAAAATGACTTCATTTGCCATTATCTTGACTTTGTATGTATTGAATCTAAGAATATTCAGTTCTTAAAAGCACATTGTGCGACTGTGAGTGAACAACTCATCATGCCTTCTCCACCAGCCGCAGGGGAGCAGAAGCTCCTTCTTATTTGGGATTCTACATTCCACAACAAACTCCCTGGTGCCCCAAAGCACTTACTTATCTTCTGGCATACTCTTAGTTTTTATAGACATTCCCTTTCCCATTCCAGTGTCCATCCCTGAAGTCTTAACTAAGTATTCTTTATCAATGAAAAATTGGGAGTCAGATATCAGGGTAAGAGCCTAAAAGATCAGAGAAGCAGGGGAGCAGCCACCAGTCAACTCCTACCTCTTCCATTCCTTCCTCCAAAAGGGCCAAGATCCTCCCTCAACCCTGCCTTACTACTTCCTGTCTCCTATCTAGATACAGTCCTCCAAACCTCTATGGTTATTTTGGTTAGCTAGTGGCTAACTCCACCCCATGACTCCAAGCAAACTTTATTTGTCAGAACACAATCAAAAATATCATATAGCACATCCTACTCTACTTACCCATTGCTTCCTGCTCTTTTTTAATATCTCTGTAATTTTAGGGTTTTTTTTTCCATGCTGATATTTATATTTGCCCAACTGGTTGCTTGGTTTATGTCAACCTGACACAAAGTTGGGCATATCTGGAGAGAGGGAAACTTGATTGAAACAACGGCTCCAATAAGATTAGCCTGTTGGCAAGTCTGTGGGGAGTACTGTATGGGTTGGGGAAAGACCTAGGTCACTGTGGGTGAGTGGTGCTGCATGACACTTCTGAGCAGGTGGTCCTGAGCTGTATAAGAAAGTGGACTGAGCATGCCATGGGAGCAAGCCTGTAAGCAGCACTCCCCACGGCCTCTGCTTCAGTTCCTGCCTCTAGCTTCCTGCCTTGAGTCCCTGCTGTGACTTCCTTCAGTGACAGAGTGTGACCTATGAGTTGTAAGATAAAATAAACCCTCTCCTCTTTAGGTTACTTTAGGTTGTGGTGTTTTATCACGGCAGTAGAAATCCTAACTAGGACACACGAGTTTCTTTTAAATCCCTATTTTGCTAAACCGTCTCTCTCTTTGCCTCTACTTAACAGCTCAAGACTGCCTTCCAGATACCATTTTCAAAGTCATCCTTTAGATAGCTATAACATTAACATTCATCAATAAATGGTCAAATTGCAAGCCTTCTCTTCAGTAGAAGGCCTGCAGCACTAACACCTATTCATTATAGCTTACATTTTATACACAAAGGTCTCAGCCATCTGCCAGCATCTATGTGCTAATCTACATATGACGGTTACGAGACATCTTTTGTGACATGCATACTTATTGGTGTCAGTTTCCCAGTTCTTTGGCTGAGACAAATGATACGGATAAGACAAGTCACCTTTCACAGTCCCCTGGTAGCAAGCTGCTCTGGCATAATAGAGAAACAGCAGGGCTTTAACCTAGATGGACAGCTGGTAGAACCAGAGCAAAGTATCTTTCTATGGAGCATTGTGGGCTAAAGCAGAAATTTATTTCACCTTCTCTCATAATCTTATCCAGAAAAAAAGCCATGTACTTATAGTTTTCCCTGAGCATTGAAACCATATTTAGCTTGACAAGAAGCTGGATTGTGGGATTTCTACTGTGAAGCCTCTCACTGGGCTCACTTTCACAATGTGTGCCCTCTAGCACAGATACTCCTCTGCTCAAACAGGAACTTTGACAACATTTGACTTAGAAACACTCATTTATAAATAAGACAAAATAGTACTTTTCTCCTAGATAAGATATTTATATCCACATGCACATAAACACACCTGCTTATTGATGCTGCTTGTATTTAGGAAAACTGCTTCAGATTATATTCAGATAGGAACTATGGCTGATTGAATTGCTTGCTTTTTTAATATATAACGAAGAAACAGAATTAGAGTCAATGTCATATTGTTTTCCACTGTTCTGTTTTGAATTGTTGAATATCTATGTGTATTTGGGGAGGAGTGAACCCGGGGCTTCTTGTATGCTACACAAGTGCTCCATCAATAAGCTACATATCCAGATGAATGATCTATTTTAAATAGAAAAAGGAAAGGGATGGTAATTGTAATACATCCTGTTAATCCCAGTGCTTAGAAGGCAGGGCAGGTGAATCTCTGTGAGTCTGCGGCCAGCCAGAGCCTATGTACAGTGAGACACTGATTCAAAAACAAAACAAAGAAATATAAAACCTAAACAAACAAACAAAAAATCCAAACAGACAAACAAAAAACCCCAAACAGACAAACAAAAAACCCAGACAAACAAAAAAACACAACCAAACAAACAAAAAACCCAAACAGACAAACAAAAACCCAAACAAACAAAAAACCCAAACAGACAAACAAAAACACAAACAAACAAAAACACAAACAAACAAAAAAGAACCCTAAACAAACAAACAAAAACCCAAACAAACAAACAAAACCCCCCAAACAAACAAAAAAACCAAACAAACAAACAAAACCCAAACAAACAAAAAACCCAGACAAACAAAAACCCAAACAAACAAACAAAAAACCCAAACAAACAAACAAACGAAAACAAATATAAAGGATCGTCATTTTATTTAAGCAGGCCAAATATGACTAAAAGACCCTTACAACTCATTTATATTATGAAAGTGTCCCATTTCATTTTGAGCACTGAGGTCAATCAATATTTTTGTTTTACAACTCCCATGAAATCTACACCAATGTCTTCCTTTATTGTACCTAATGAGTTCTCCCTATTGTCTGTTTCAATAATCAGATGTATATTTTTTCCTGTCATAAACAGTAAAGTAGAATCCTTAGCAACAAATCAAAAGGTTTATATATGACATAAGGTTGAAAGATATCAGTCATGCTGTATTAACTCATTCTTTACATATTGATTTTAGATCACTGAACTAGCAGGCTATACTGCTAGAGTGTACAACATGTTCTGGGTCTTTGACGAAGTGAAAAGAGGCATTTATAAGAGAAATGTCACTCCGGATCCTGAAAAGGATACCAAGAGTGGAGGTAACAAGGAGCTACCCCTCAGTGACACCCTAGCAATTAAAGGTAACTAACTTCAGGTGTTTTCACCTTTTCCTTATAGTTCAGCGTCATTTAACGAAAAGATCTGAAGGTTTCTTCTCTAGCAGACAGCTTTTAACAGTTACAAGAAACTAGGATTTAAATAAGAAACATTATTTAAACAGCACTCTATAGTTAGTACTGCGGTTTGAGTGGCAGCGATAATAGCACAGTAAGAGGAACATACGGCACTTACATCCAGGAAAGTGTGTTCGCATTGTAGCTGGAGACAGCACACGTGACCGAAAGAATTGTTTGCTCTTCAAATTCCATCAAATAAATAGAATTAGTGCTAGTGCCATATTGTTTTTCATTATTCTATGTTTCTAAATGTTTGTCGTGTCAAATATATCACTTCTTAATTCCCTTCTTGGAACAGTGTATTTTTTCCTTGTAGGAAATAGGGGAATAGAATAACTCCAAATGGTATGGCTAGGTTGTATGAGATATAGTTTATGTCTGCAAGGATAAAGATATTGATATTTGATTATAAAATTATTTTCTTGGGAATGTTTTCTAAATAGATTAAAAATACAGATAGATATTAAATTGACTTCATATTCATTTTTTTCTTATGATTTATAGATGTGAATTGTCTTTATAATCGAGTTTGCCCATTCTGTCCTATTATTCTTCAAGCTAGTCAGCAGTAACTTGTGACATCAACTCCCCCTTGATTCCAGGGACAGTGATTGACGTGGATCACGGAATCATTTGTGAGAACGTGCCCATCATCACACCAGCAGGAGAAGTGGTGGCTTCCCGGCTGAACTTCAAAGTAAGATGATAGTCAAGAATCTTCTGATTGTTGGCCTCCCACTAATAGAAAACAACTCAGAATTCATGTACCTTATGTTAAATACTCGGAGAGGAGCGTGTGGAAGAGGGGAGATCAATAAGGTACGCACAGTAGCTCAGTTACAGAAGCAGTACCTTCCCCAGAAAGCAGAGAGAAAAGAGAACTTTCATTTCTGCTGCTTTAGTGCCAGAAATTACATCAAATTACAGAACACCAAGAGCCATTCAAAGTAGCTTTGGGGAACAAGAGGAAAGAGCAGAAATTAATATCTGGAAATGAATTTTAACTCTTTATAAAAGTTGTTAAGAAATCTATAAGATTATACTTTTACAGACTTTCTAAAAATACTACCTTTCCCCAAAGGTCATTATCAAATTGAGTTTTACTAATACGTGTTTTCTAGCTTTAATTTCTACTTTAAATAATCAGAAGATTCATGGATTCAACTTTAGTTTTTAATACTGTTGAAAATAATTTATTATTCTACATATAATTACAAAACTAAGAAGTACAAAAACATTTGTAAGCCCATGGCCATGGTGGGTTTGTGTTTTGTTTTGTTTTTGTTTTTTGTTTTTGTTTTTGTTTTGTGAGACAGGGTTTCTCTGTGTAGCTTTGGAGCCTTTCCTGGAACTCATTCTGTAGACCAGACTGGCCTCAAACTCAGAGATCCACCTGCCTCTGCCTCCCAAGTGCTGAGATTAAAGGCATGCGCCACCACCACCCAGCTCCACGGCCATGGTTTTAAAGCTTTGTGAAATTGAAACATACATTTTGAACTAAGTATAAAGTGGTAAACATGTTGTGTTGGGTACTTAAGTCCTTAGGTCAGTACACTGACAACTTAAAATGAGGAAGCATTTAGTTGGCTCCAGGTTTCAGGGCATTTACTTGGGGTTGAGCTGTCTCACTGCTGTGGGCCTGAGAAATAGCTGAACATCTGTCAGGAACGTGTAGCAAAGGAGGGTCCTCACTGCAAGCGAGATAGCAAGCAAAGAAAGGGAATGCACAAAGGGACAGGTCAAGGAACAGTCTAAGGACACATTCCCACTGACCTGCTTCCTCTGTGTCTGAGGCTTTTCACCACCTTCCAAAATGTCCCAGAAGTTGGAGACTTAGTGATCAACACATGGTGCTATGGGAGACATTTCAGATTCACACCATACCAACTATAATGAAGGCCATTGAGCTATGATGAAATTTTATAATCAAATTATGAACATCATAATACTAGAGATTTGGAAATAGATCTTTAGTCTTAATTATTAGACATATATTTGCAATTAATGAAAGTTACTGAGTGTTGAAAATAGTGGATGCAATATATTGAGCATAGGGAAAATCCGTTAATAAATTGGAGAGAAACTGTTTGGTCATATTAATATAAAAAAGTTTCCAATTACCAACTTTTAAAAAAAGTGTTAAATTTCTAAGAACTCCTGATAGAAACTGACCCTTTGAAACATTTTATGAATATACCACTCACTATGACATGTATCTTCCAAAACTCTTTTGGAGAGTTCATGCATCTATCAAATTAATCATCCATCATCAAGGAGTCTAGTAGAAGAGAAGAAGCAGGTCAGAATTCATTCTTTGCACGTTCTCCTCAGGACTTTCTGGAATGCTAGCAATTCACCTTTGCCTTTGATTTTTGGCATTGTGTCTTCTGTACAATGGAAAGTTAGATATTTGTGTCCATTCAATGAAAATATAAATGCATAGACATCCTGCATCTAGCTCTGGTCCTTTCATCTTATCTTCATCTTCTGCATCACTGATTATGAAACAAATCAAGTCTGTAAGCAGTGTTCCTGCCCCTTGCTCTTCATGACGTGCTGCAAGTGTGATAGGAAGGCGACCTCCCCACCCTACTGAACGGAATGCGAAGTTGCGAAGTCTAACTGTTTAAATTTAATTGATAACTAAGACAAATAATAAAAGTGGAGCTTCTGATAAGTGATTAATAAGTAACTTGTTTTATCAATGGATAATACATGTATATGATCTCCCCTTATATAGAGAGGGTGAATATTTTAAGTGTGTACAGTCTTCCTATATATCCTTGAGGGATGGGTTCCATGACATCCAAATCTGATAACATTCAAATCCTTTATGTAAAGTTTTATAGAAAAAAGATTCTGTACATATTCAATACAGATGCAACCTTTTTTTTTCCTTCAAGTATTTTCAGTACGTAGTTGGCTTACTCTTCAGAACTGGAGTCCTGGCTATGGAGACTTACCTACATGTGTTTAAGCTCAACCTGCAGCATACCTTATACTTCAGTGACCTTGCTTTCATCTGGTTTGGTTTCATAAGCATGTGTTTTAACATCTGTGAATGAAGCAGAATTAGAATAATCTTTTCTCTTTGATTATGTGTTTTCGTAGGCTCCTTGGATAACTGCTTTATACTATATTCAATTTCCAGTTGCATTTATATAAATTTAATTAAATAGTAATATAAATAAAACAAAATTTAATGTCTTTTTTAATTTAAACCTTATGATTTGTCTTCTTTCCTGTGTAGTTCATTTCTCCGCATATATATATGAATCTGATAATACCTCAATTGAAGTGTTGAAGAGTCAGTGTTCTCTCCAAGAAGATCCATTTTCTTTGCAATTAATTATTTTATGATACTTTTAGCTTCAGAGACTAGTCAAAGCCAAATTGATGCTCTAATCGTGATATATTTTTTGTATTTTTTTGCCATCCAAGATTATCATGTGATTGAATGTCTTTTAAATCACTTTTAAATGCTACCAAATGAAATAATTATTAAATATTGCAGCTTATAATTTTATTTCTGACTTTAGGTAGAAGAAGGGATGCATCTTTTGATAACTGGTCCCAATGGTTGTGGAAAAAGCTCCCTCTTTAGAATCCTAAGTGGGCTGTGGCCTGTGTATGAAGGAGTCCTTTATAAACCACCTCCCCAACATATGTTCTATATTCCACAGAGGTAAGACATTTTCATATCAAATGAAGATGATTGCTTTTGCTCTTTAATTGTGTTCATTCCACAGGCTCTTTGGTTTATGCTCATTTAAGGATATTTTTATTGAGAGAAGCTATTGAGTAAATAGGCATGAGTTCACTTGTCCCCAGAGTTCTCTTTTACCATTCTGACCATAATAGACTCTGAATCAGTGCCACTTCTTGTAGTTTTTATACTTGACAAGATGCTAAGAATAGTTAAAGACTTCAGATGTCTTAGGAAAGAATAAATGGATCCAAAGAATAATTAGATGTCAGATGATCTTCTTACAGATAAAAATATAGTGCTTTGGTTTCATTTGGATCTTTCCATCGTGCTACATATACTCATGTATCCTAAAATTATCCATTCATGCCTAAGAGCCTCTTTAGCATTTTCATTGTGATTATGCTAGGTAATTAATAATCTCAACTACCTTAATTAAAATTGTTTTAAGAATGAGACTAAGATAAGCATGGAAAAGTTCGTTGTTTTTTTTTGTTTTTTTTTTTTTTTGCCAAAATCTGTAGCCATCTTCCCTTATAACAACACAGAAGTATCTAAACTCAAAGTTATATACTTGGGAATTTGGAGTATTTATTGTGGGTGAGAGAAAAATCAGCTGTAAAGAAAAGATAAGCTCCTGTGGCCCAGTGATTTCTTCAAGTGTCACCCAGGTTCAATAGATGCTGCATTGTATGTATATGCTCTGGGTCACCCTGTGTATCACCTGGGTTAAGCGGACAGGACACAGTGTTCCCTCTGGATTGGAGGACTTCACTGAGGCCTGTAACAGAGCACCTAGGATGGAAGTGTAGGGCTGGAGCACGAGTGCATGTCACATTGAGGCCAGGCAGTGTTGCACACTTTAGTCCCCTCTTCTTTGTAGGTAAAGGGGCTGTCATCTGCCATTTGGTCTGACTTTTAGGCCATAAGCAGAGGTTTGGTTCTGTGAATTTATTTTCTCTAAAGAAAGACTCATGGTGGTAGCAGCAGGCTGCTGTCTGGTGTATGGGAAGATGAAGACATATGTTAGCTGAAAATATTAAATATGAGCAGTGTTGTTGGTACCTGAGTTTAACACAACACAAACGTCCTGTGACACCATAAACACTGCTTCTTTTCTGACTTTTGAAAAACTTCAAATGAAACCTCAGTTTTATTGCCTCAGTTTAAATTTTACAAATGAAAGATAGTAAGAAGCATTATTTCATTTCTGTACTTAAGCTATAAGGTATAGAACCATGAGAAAAATGGTCTATCAAGAAATGTATTCTTGATGAAAATGAAAACACATAAAGTTTACTTTTTACCTATTAGATATTTCATATATTGTATGAATGGAACAACTTTTGAATATACATTTGACATAGTCAAAAGAGTTTCCCAAGCAGTGGGCAAGTTTATGAAAGTGACTAAATTAACCTTTACCCTCAGAGTGAGCTAACCACAATGTTTTACAATAAATAGAAATCATTAGGAAATTTTGTCTTATGAAATGTATTTTGGCCTAAGCAAAACTGTCAACTCTAACCTATTAAAGGAGAAGAATAAGCAGGAGTAGTCTATATTTTCATTCTTAAATGATTATTGTTTTAAGTTAGTTCACCTTAATTATATGCATCTAGAGGCACAGGGAATCATATTTACACTTAACATTTTTATAGAGCCCTGTTCCTTCCACTTTTGCTTAACAATTACTTAAAACTCAAATGTAAACGAAGGAAGTCTAATTGTAACACTTATTTCTTGTATTCTAAAAGCCAGTGATTTTTTTTCAGGTAAGTTTTGTAATGATCACAGAAGATTTTATTATGTGAAAGAAGATAACAGCATGACTTCTTTTTAAAATACGTGTCAGTAAATGAACTTATCACATAAATGACTGCTAGGATTAACTTTTCTGCTACTCTCTAAGCAATGGAATGTCAGCTAACTACTAGTTTGGCGGAAAAACCAATGCAGAACTCAAGCCGAAGTTTGAACTCTGTAAGTCATTAAACAGATTTTACAGTTAATCACTGTGATCGAAGTATTTCTTCTTAGAGGATGGATCTCTTTATGCAGTGATTAAATGCAAAATATGTTGCTACTTTCACTGGTGAAAATGGAGTAGGTTTTATGGCAGTGGGTTTCTTATATTATGTAGTAAGCAAAACAAAGCTACCCGGGGAAGAGCAAGTACACTCTTGGTTTTTTACCAAACCTTCACACACAGAGACCCAAACAAAAATGCTCCTCTGGCTCACTTCGTAAATTGGGAAACATGAATTCCTGAGAAATTGTGAAATCGCCCCAGTTGGTGTCTTCTTATGCTTTAGCAATGTTAATAATAAGAACCAGATTCTTTGGGAAGCTGGGCCTTGGTACAGGAGGATTGAGTTGGTCTGCCTAAATTTGAGTCCAAACGATTCTTCCTCACCCTGTCTTCATCAGTGACAGAATGTAAGAACTGGAGCATCTGTTGGTTTTAGGACAGAATGTCTCATCTGAAAAGCGCATTGGCCGCTTGCCTTCTGTGGTGTGGTGAATGGAGAGTGGCTGGGGCTTTGCTCAAGTAGTACCTGGAAACCTACCCTGGCACTTTCCAGCTGAGACCAAATGTCCTGCACGATATGACTATGCTTCTTAGTCAGATGGCTGATGCTTGTCACCCTTTGCTGGACCATCTTTCATGACTTTTAAGAAGCACCTTCCACTTGGATGAATTTCCTGAATTGTTTTGCAAATTCTTACTGTGTTTTTCTTCTTCCCAAGTCTCTAAAGATAGGCTTATGGCCTTCTGCTCCTGCTTTCATTTCTTCACTAATTTATGGCCTATTACTCACTTACTTATCCCTTGGAGAGTTTCTGTATGCAGCTGTCACAGCCCCCAAAGCCAGCTTTACGTATATCTAATTTAGTTTCCTTGCTAATCAACACTATCAATGCACCATCAGTCATCCAAATGAGATATTGAAATATAGGATTTGGGAGAACCTGGAGGGTAGGAAGAATGGCAGCATGGTGACTTTGTATCCCTTTATGATGCTTTAGTTAACCCCCAGAGAATCGTGTGTGTACATCCCACTCTCTTCTCAGCAACAGTCTATGGTTGGGCAAAATCCAGCATGGATTTGTATTTCAAATGTTCCTGCTCTCACTATTCTTCCTTGAAAGCAATATCTCAGGAGAGAAGTGCTAACAAATATCTTACTATATATAGTATAAATATGTATAAATCCTGTCCATCTTTGACTCTGAGTCTGAGAAATAAAACATAAGGAAAACGAGAGAAAGATTGCACTCATAAGGATTGTATTAAGCCGGGCATGGTGGTGCATGCACCTCTAATCCCAGCACTCAGGAGGCAGAGGCAGGCAGATCTCTGAGTTTGAGGCCAGCCTGGTCTACAGAGTGAGTTCTAGGCCAGCCAGGGCTACACAGAGAAACCCTGTCTCAAAAAAACAAAACCACAAAGGATTGTATTAAACAAACCTTCCTGGGGGTGGGTGGTTCGTGTGTTGAGTCTATGGCCTCGTGCATGCTGAGCACACACTCTCCCACTGGGCTTTACCCCAGTACTGAATGACTGACAGATTTCCTGTCTATTGACAAATCTGCCCATCTGCCTGTCGTCTTACACTATGAACCATCTGTCTATTTTGTTACTTGCACTGGGTATGTTGCCTAATCCTCTTTGTGATGGATAAATGTCCGTCAATTAACAGTTCTTTCTTTAAGGAAATTGCTGGGGCAGTGATGAGGGCTCAATAGAGTTCTTGAGGCTAATTTCTTGCTTTATAAGCACTAGATGCAAAAAAAAAATTGGATGATGCAATTTTCATAATGTAAATATCTGTTTTGAGTTAAGTATCTCTTGTTTTCCTAAAAAACATAAGAATGTGAGGAATGATTTTATGTATTCAGAACTCAAATGTTGAGCTTTCTGTGCACACACACACAAAAAGCCTGACAATATGATTGGTTCAACCCGTGCATTTTCCGATGATTGACAGTGAATATTCATGGTTTGCTCCACCTTCTTACTGTTTGGCCACAGCTGGAGAAATGATGTATTACTCTTCAACTTTAGACTCCCATGCCTTAGAGATAAAAATGTTGTTGAATTTTTTTTTATCAGTGTTGTCCAGGTAACTATATAGTTTTAAAATGTTCAACTCTGAGCACAAGGATAGAGATTACGATTTTCTGTGCTCTCTTGTTCTTTCCTCCTTTGTCTCAAATATAGAATAATCAAAACCCAGAGGAATCTAACAGACAATAAGTTATATCAAAAAGAAATATCCAATAGTTCAATGTTAGCACAGGAAAATGAGAGTACACAGAAAATTTTAAAAATATCTAAAATGCTTGTAATAACTAGTAACTATAAAAATATAATTATTGGGGATGGATTTGATCTCAAATACTTTTACTATGACAGTTAATAGTTTTTTAATAGTACAGTTAATAGTACAGATGTAAGATTTCACAGAAAAGCAATTACAGTTTGTTGCTAAAATTCTTTCCCAGGAGAAGCAAATTTTACTTCACGTTTATATATTTCAGATATTTCTATTAGCATCTTGAAAACTGAGTAGGAAATGAAGCATAAAAAGCTATAATTATTTTGCTTCATCAGTGAAGAATCCTCTTAAGATAAATTTCTATGTGTCAACCAGAGAAAATTAGCTGATTTTGAAAAGTCTATAGAAATCATAAGTATGAAGTCTTTTGATGAAGTTACATGTTTACCCTGCTTTTATAACAATGAAGGCATCTGAGGACTCTGCGTATTTTGAGTCCTTTGAAGCCCTGTAAACTACACCAGTGAACTAGATATTACCCAAAGAAAATCTTCTAGATAAACTTGAAGTACTTTCTTGAGTACTTCACAGGATCTATCTTTGATATCTATACAGAAAGCTGTTATTCATCAATCACAGTTAGCATAATAAAACTTATTATCGGAAAAAAGCAGACAATTATCCGATGAAAGCAAATTATTTTGTACTTACTTGCTCTTTTCTACAAGATTTTTGTTTTCATTGCTGGGGATCAGCCTGCACTGCGTGACAGGCAAGTGCTCCATCAGTCACTCCTCTAAGCTTTGTTTTCACTTAGAGAACGCAAGAGAAATGAACTTATTTAAATGATGATCACTTACTGAGTACCTTCCTTTGCCCCTACATTATAGTAAACAGTCTTACCACATTACTTCATTTAGCTGCTTCATTCCACAATCATGATAAATGGAATAAAATAAGTGACTTCACGAACAAATTAGGTCAAGTTCAGAGTTGAGTGACAGTACTAAAGTAGTGAGATCAGGAGTCTATCCCAGAACCACCTCTCTAAAGTCCGTTATCACAACCGTTACTCTACACTGAATAGCATAAAGCCCTGTACACTGAACCGCAGATGGAAATGATGATGTCATCAAATCCTAGCCCTTCATCAGGGTGCATGGCAAAGCCTTTAGAGGCACCCGTAGCCTGGATGCATAGGTGTATTTTTGCCCTTGCAGTCTTGACTGTGCCATGTGACAGATCTGCTTTTCTAATCAACATCTGTGCTTTATGCTAAGGGTTGGAAGGAGATCTGCACCTTCTGATATGTGTTACGATGGAGCTGGTATCAATGTAAAGTCAGTAAACATTCCCTCTCCTAAGGTCCCGAATAGTTACTGAGCACCTTGTGACAGCCACTCGGTGGCCCTACTTCATACAGTGTAACAGTGCTCCTGTTACAATTTGTAGATGTGAATTTAAGGTATTTCCAAATTTGTGATTGCTTAAGGTGCTGTGTGTAAGTAAATGAACGCAGACTGTATTCTGCTTGAAGAAAATGGGGGTAGAATGGAAAGGGAAAGGAAAGAGGGCTGAAGGAGAAACCTTAAATGTATGGAAATGAGACTGGAAATGGTTCGACCGTTTTGGAAAACAGCCTGGCAGTTGCTTAGAAAGTTCTTTGCCCCCACAGTTCCATTTACTTGTTTATACTCAGTATGCATAATGCTCCATAGTAGGAAACAATGAAATATCCTTCAAGAGATGAATGGATGAATCCAATGTGGCATATCCTTACAATACAACATCATAAGAGCATTCGGCTCTAAAAAGGAATATGGCACATTCTAAAACACACATGAACCTGAGAACATTTTGCCATTAAAGAAAAGTCAATCACAAAAGAGCACATATTGTATGAGTCTGTGTATTTGGATACCCAGAACAGGCAAATCCATGGAGACAGGAAACAGGCTGGTTACAAGGAGCAGACAGATAGCAGCATCTGATCCTGGCTATGGGGCTTCTGGAGATAGGAACCAAGAAAAGTATTTTCAAGTTGGGGGTGATGGTCACCTGAGCTTGTGGATGTGTTGGAAACCATTGAATTATAGACATTAAAGGCTGATACAAAATTTGAATCACATGCCAAGTTAAACAAAGATACTTAAATGGTTCTTTGTATTTATAAAGATCTTGTGTGTGTGTGTATGTGTGTGTGTGTGTAGTTGAAAACAAACATTTTTATTTCAAATCATAGTTAAATATATTACAAAATAATTATGCATTATGTGTCCCTCACAGAAATACTTGGTGAATATTGTGAAAAAAAATAGGTGGACATTTGGTCTGTAAAGTATGTTTTGTATTTAAAGATTTTCTCCTCAGTCAAACACACAGAGCTGGTGTAATTTTTTAAAATATCTTTAAATGTGTGTGTTTTGCCTGCATGTATTTCTATGCACCACATGAATGACTGGTGTCCATGGAAATAAGAAGGTATTGGATCCACTGGAACTTACAGACAGTTGTGAGCTGCCATGTGGGTACTGGGAACCAAATGTGGGTCCTCTGCAAGAGCAGCCAGCAGTTTTAGCTGCCATGCCACAGCACCTAACCCTTGCTGTCTGTATAAGACAGGCCCTTTAGCTAGGATGACCTGGTGTTCCCCACAAAACCACTCCAGTTGTGTATAGTTTGCGGAGTCCCTGCCTGTGTTAGTGTTTGCTGCCGTCACAAGTCACCAAAATACTGATGGTTTGAATAAATGAAGAGCCATTCTCTCAGAGTTTGAGACTTGCAGACTAAGATAGTATCAGTTTACACTTTGTGTGGAAGCTGAAGGGGAAGGCCGAGAAGATGATGCAGTAGGTAAAAATACTTGCTGTTGAAATCCACTTTATTGCCTACATGATCTGCTCATTTGTAAGGATGGCCTTCTGCTAGTCCAGAGGAGAGTGGAGTTAGCAAACTGTTTTTAATCATTTTAATGATGAATTGAAACTATGTAGCCAATGTTACTTACATTAATTCATTCCATTCCTATCCTTTTTCCTCCTCTCTTCTGGGGTCATGTTATCTATTTGATCATTATAAACAACATCCAGTTCCTTGCTTTTCAGTTAATTTTAGTTAATTCTTTGATGTTATTCATCAAATAGTAACATTTTAACATAACTATAAAGCTTGTATAGAAAGGATGTGGTGCACACCTTTAACCCCAGCACTTCTGGGACAGCCAGAGCTACATAGTAAGTCCCTGTCTCCAAAAAAAGGGAAGAGAGAGAGAGAGAGAGAGAGAGAGAGAGAGAGAGAGAGAGAGAGAGAGAGGGAGGGAGGGAGGGAGGGAGGGAGAAAGAAGATGTTTAGAGAGCATGTTTTCTTTACTCTATCCATTTCACCACCTTGGGTGACCTTTTCATGAGTTTCTGGCTTGCTTTCCCTATTTCCTTCTGTAGGTATTACCAAATGTGTGTATTTATATCATCCTTCATCTTCTTTTCATAAAAGGTGATATACTACTGTCTACCAGTGTTTCTCAACTGGGGACAGCTTTGTAACCTAGGGGTATTTGTCCCTTGTGGAGACTTGTAGACAACTTTTAAAATCATGTTTGAGGAGATGCTGCTGACATCTAGTGGATAGAGACCAGGTATGCCACTAACCTTCCCTCAACAGGATGCCATCGGCAAGGACAAGGCATCCATCAGTCAGTGAATCAGAGCTGTGGTGAGACATCCTGATCTAGGTCCACTTTCACCTTTTCCTTTTCAGCTGAATGATGATCACAGAACTCATTCTGTATTACTTCATGTGTACCTGCCTGGACTCTTTAGTGCCTCATAGTAGGTACAGATAGAATTCCTTATAGTAGGTACAGATAGAATTCCTTATAGTAGGTACAGATAGGATTCCTTATAGTAGGAACAGATAGAATTCCTTATAGTAGGTACAGATAGAAGTCCTTGTAGTAGTTGGAGGTAGAAGTCCTCATCGTAGGTGCAGATAGTTGATTCAAGGATTCTCTCGCCTGGTCCTTTAACTTGGCTTTGGATATTCTCACACTACAAATGGCACTGTCATGGGTAAACTTAGGCAAGTTTTCCTTTTTGACATTTTTAGGAGCATATCCTCCGAGAAAATTCCCAGAAGTAGGTCAAAAGGCAAATGACATGTCAAATTGCCAGATTTCCTCCAAGGAGGTTGGATTTTCACCATTTTATGGAAACATCTGTTTTTCCCATGGGCCTGTCAGCTGACTGAATTATCAAGCTGTTGGATTTTTTTTTTTGCTAATCTGATAAACAAGAAAACCCAGGCATATTAATTTACATTTTATTATTAATAATATTACATCTTTCAGTTTGTTTGTCTACATTACTGTCAAAACTCCAAGTTTTGTGTTTAATGCAAAGAAATTTAGATGTACAGAAACAATCTTTATCAAATATGGCTGTGCTAGTCAGGGTTTTCTAAATGAACAGAACTGACAGAATGAAGATAGATGGACAGACAGACAGATAGATAAATATTGACTTAATTAAGAAAAAAGACATAAAGGGGATTTACTAGAGTGCCCCCCAGGCTGTGGTCCAGCCAGTCCAACAACAGCTGTCTACCAATGGGAAGTCCAAGAATCCAGTTGTTCAGTCTACAAGGCTGGATGGCTCAGCTGGTCTTCAGTATATGCCAGGCATCCCAAGATGAAGGCTGTAATATCAGTGGAGGAGTGGACTTGCCAACAAAAGTGATGGCAAGCAGGCAAAGAGAGAAAGCTTCCTTCTTCCATGCCCTATCTATAGGCTGTCACCAGAAGGGGTGGCCCAGGTTAAATGTGGGATCAAAAGATCAGGATTGAGAATGGGTCTTCCCACTTCAACTGATTTCATTAAGAAAGCAAACTCCTCACTATCGTACCCAGACACGTGGTTTTTGTTAGCTCCAGGTTTAGTCAAGTGAACAAGCAAGAATACCCATCACAATGGAGAAACAAACTATTTTTGTTACAGAAAATATCAAATGGTTTCTTACAAAAGCTTTTCTGTATGTATATCTCAGTATCTTTTCCATAAACCAGGTATTATTTTGAAGTCTTTCCAAGAAACATAATATAATCCTATAAATTGAGGGTTTAAAGTCTGGTGTGTTCCAGCCAGCAGGGTGTCGTCACCCTGGGTAAGCTAACATACCTTTGCACCAGGACTCACATGTGCTTGGTGTTTTACAGGCCATACATGTCTCTTGGAAGTCTGCGTGATCAAGTCATTTATCCTGACTCAGTGGATGACATGCACGAAAAAGGGTACACTGACCAAGACCTGGAAGGCATTCTGCACAGTGTCCACCTCTACCACATAGTTCAAAGAGAAGGAGGTAGAGTATAGGGTTTTTTTTTTTAAGTGTGGTTTAACTTTATTTACAGAGCAAGTTTGGCCTGTGTGTGTGTGATGATGTGCACCAGTAATCTCAACACTTGGGTCATGGAGGGAGGAAGATCAAGAACTCAAAGTCACCCTCCCCTATGCAGCAGATGTGAGGTGAGCCTGGGACCCATCAAAACTTTGTCTCAAAAAAGTCAATTAATTAAATAAATAAACTTGGGTTTTATACTAGTTACCAAATACCCAACAGAAACGGCCTAGGGGCTGGGTTTCCCCTTCTGCTGAAGGTGTCAGAGTGTCACTTTGTGGTGGTGTAGAGGATGTGCTGTGGCACAGTTCTCACCTGGGAAAGCTTCGGGCTTTCTCCTTCTCTCTCTCTTGTCCTTCCTGAGCTTCGCACCAAACTTCTCTGTAAGTCAGGCCTCTCTGGAAGCAGGCTCACTGAGACACATGGGTGTGCTACACAATGGGTGACTCCAACTCTACTCAAGGTGACAACAGCGATGACTGTCCCAGGCATGTATGAAGTCTGTGATTTCTGAATATATGACATTACTAGACCATAGACACGTAAGGAGAAATTTCTTCTTTTTCCTTTATAGATACCCTGGCTTTGCTGGTTCTTTACCAGTCACCATCACATCACCTTTAGTGTTTAAAGACCTTGATATTTGAATGTATAAGTATTCCTTAGAGCTCCATTGTTCTAGATGTATGTAAAGTCTACGACGAACTATTTGCTTGCCAAGCTCTCTTAGCTTACATTAAATATAATTTTGGAAAGTGGATCTCACACAACGTGTTTGTCTTCAGTCCCACAATCTTTCTAATATATATATAATATATTATATATGATTAAATAGCAATATATATAAATTAAATTAAATATGATATAATATATATGTGATTAAATAGCAAGTAAAACTTCTTCATTGTGGGTTTCTTTAGAATAAGACATATATGAAAGAGTGGGAATATGTATACATATGAGCTTTCAATCCAACTATTTCCTAAAAGTTATTCTCTCAACTATTTTGGTAAATCATATGATTTAATAGCCCAGAAAATTACTTAAAAAGCAAGCCAGAAGTCTAGGTTGAGTTGTGCATGCATGGATTTTATGCTTTTCTTCCCTGGCATAATTACATTATTGGGGGGGGGGAGCCGTATATGACAGTGCCTGAGAATATGGACTTTTACTCAGAGTGAAAGAATCAAATCCTAGTTAGCATATCTTTCTGTGTCTTCAATGGTAAAATGATGATACATTTTTTTCTTTTTTTTCCCCAAGGCTTCTGTGAGTATTAAATGAAACTCTCTGTGCAGTATTACTGCGGTGGCAGATGCCTCACAAGTAAACATGAATAGTGACCTAATCCCTCCAATAAGTAAATAAAGCAGGCAAGAAAGCTATGACTATATTTCTATTTCTGATGTCTGCCCTCTGAGGAAAGTAGATTTTTCCTTTAGCATCAGATGGTCAATCCCTACCCAATTTCAAAATACTTTAACAGTATAGATTCTACATATTATGGGCAAACTAATGAAGTTTGGGATTCCATGATTAAATAGAAATTGAAAATAAACACAAAAAAATTCTAGTATTCTTTAGAAGTCAGGAAGTTCTAGGACTATTTTTAAGTTCCAAGCCTAGAGGTTTATACCCCTTTTCCTTAGATACATAACAAATTATATTTGTTCTTTTTCCCATAAATAAAAGAAAGGAGTACCTGGACTTTAGCAATATAATAGCAGCAGTTATGGTTTGTTGAGTATTTGCTGCCCAGAATGTACCATGTTCAAACAAGTACCTATTGTTTCTTTCAATGTTCATGGAAGTCCATTGATGATGCATTGCCATCTCCATTGTACAGTTTAAATTCAGGGCGGTTACTTTATAGTAATTCCCATAACAGCTGGTAGAACAGAATTCAAACACAGATTTAACTTTGAAAGACCATGTTCAACACTAGGCATGGCCTGTGTTCTGCTGTCATACAGCATACAGCACACAGTATGTCTCTTGGCTTTTTAGACATAAGAACTGTTGTATAATCTCACATAAATATATCTTTCCTAAGAAACTAGTTTTACTTAATCTCTAAACATGAGGTATCTAAGGCAGTGGTTCTCAGCCTTCCTAATGCTGCGACCCTTTAATACAGTTCCACATGTTGTGGTGACCCACCCCAACCATAACATTATTCTCAATGCAACTTCATAACTGTAATTTTGCTACTGTTATGAATTGTAATGTAAATATCTGATATGCAGGATATCTACTATGTAACCCCCAATGGGTCATGACCCACAGGTTGAGACCCACTGAGCAATGCAGGAAAATACTTCCACTTACTAGTATATAACTCCCCATTGGAATTATTTAGATTAGCTAATTCTTGGCTTAGCAAAGAATGGAGATACATCCTACATTTCATTCCCATAAGTAGGTTTCAAAATAGAAAAGAGTAGAATGGAAACAAACAGACATAAATGCAAAGTTTATACATCTTCAGGAAGCAGGGGAGTGATGTTCTTCTTAGCTGTCATAGTTTTAGTGAATGAGCAACAGGCATCATGGCTGTTGCCAAGGATGCTGATGGAGCCCTCTGGGTTCAGTAGAACAAAGGGTGCAATTTATTAAAATATGTAAAAATTAACTTTCCCTCGACTAAAAACCTTGTTTTTCAGTTCAGGGAACAAATCATTCTCACCAGAGCATCCTTTATAGCGCTGCATTCTAAATCTGTTCCTCAAGTCCTCACTTTCATTTCATAAGTGCTATAAAGTTTGGACACATAAAATTATTATTTCAACAGTTTTCCCTGAATCAAGCTGGCATTTTGAGGGGTTTTGTAATATAATCTTATAAGGATCTATTTTTAAATAATTTCTAGACATTTACTCAAGGAAATGAACAGTGATCCCTCTGAAGATGCTGACTGGATGTTGTCAGTGGGAAATAATGTTACACTTTAGATGCTACTTTATTGATTATTGTTTATAGATTCCTTTCTACTCTTGTGTATATACTTTGTGAGGTAAGGCTACTTGAGTACAGGTGCCTAGGGAGCCAGAAGAGTGTTGGATCCCTTGGAGGGAGCTGAAGTTATAAGTGGTTGTGAGCCACTTGACATGGGTGCTGGGAATCAAACTCGGGTCCCCTGCAAGAGCAGTGCATGCTCTTAAACACAGGATCATCTCTTTGGTCTCAGCATTATATTTTCTTCTCTCTCATTTCTCCACCTCCCCTAACTCCTCCTAGATTACTCCCCACCCTGCATTATTTTATATGTCACTTCTATTGTATTTCCTTTTTAAGTTTTGGAAGAGAGAACACTTTCACATAACTTAAGATATATCTGTAAAACAGTCTTTTCATCCTTATTTTCTCTAATTATTATCTCTGTACTCTGTTTAATTTCTTATTTATCACTTCAGGCTTTTTTTTCTGAGACAGAGTATCAGTATATAGCACAGGCTAGCCCCCAACTCGTGACACTCCTGTCCTTGCTACTGACCCAAGATTACAGGCAAGTTTCACTGTGCCTGGTTTAATTTTACACTTTCTAAAACTTGTAGTACACTTTACAGTAATTTCTAAAAGAAGAAAACGTTTAAAAAAATAAAGGTGAATTCTGATTTATCAATTAACATACATTATTCTGTTCAAGACTCTGACCTTTTGCATGCTAAAAGATAAATCCAGAGTTGGGGATTTAGCTCAGTGGTAGAGCGCTTGCCTAGCAAGCACGAGGCCCTGGGTTTGATCCTCAGCTCCAGAAAAAAAAAAAAAAAAGATAAATCCATATTCTTCCTTTTGTTTAGCAAAAGAATTAAATAATTGATCTGCTAATTTGTTTCTTCAGGCACCCAAAGTTAGAACAATGAAGACTCTACTTCTTCCTGTAACCTATGACCAACTCTACTTAGAAATTTTAATAATTATGAAAGGCAGCTGAGAGAGAATGATGGATGCGTGGAGTGTGGCCCTTCTCCAAGGGGATAATTAAACCCTGAACACTGAAGATGTGCAAATGGTGCCTTCAGTATTGTCAAGTTTGGGCAGCCATTTTCTTCTCTGAAAATTGGAGTCTACAAAAAGTAGACCTTGGTTTTGTTCTTAAGTAATATTTTCTAATTAATTATGTAAAATAGTCATAAACATGTTCAAATATTACAAATGTGTTGACCTGAAAAACAAAACTCTCATAATCCCACTCCCAGATGTGTGTCTGACACATGAGTGCACATTTTCAGAATGGTAGCCATAATACATGTCATTCTGAAATTTGGGCTTTCGTTTAAATTTTTCTGATATTATTTTTATAAAATATGGAAAATAGTTTTCAAATATATCCCTTAATTTTAAAATTAGAAGCTCGCATTGTAAATGAATGTCAAACAATCAGTAATTAAGAAGTTTTAACAGATAGGCTGCACAGACTGTGAAAACATTAAGCCTAAACATAAACCCTAGCTCTAACCTGACAGACAACTCTAAACTCAGAAGTGTCTATTGCTCCATGAATTCTGCATGCCCCACTTGTAAAATGCAAATAAAACCAGCTATCTTATAAGCTGCAGAAGAGTGAAAAGACTTGCATAAAATACCAGGCCTGTGGGAACTGTTTAACTTGGCTCCTCCCACACTGTTTTAGGCCTTGGCGATTGTCCTATGCAAATTATTAAATCTCTTCTCCCACTACCCTCAAAAATCAGCATATGTACATCAACCCTTTGAACAGACTGAGAAACAAATGGATGTTACTGAGTGCCAGTGTTTACAACTCTATCAATGGAAGAAATTATTACTCTTTAAAGAATATCATATTTAAAATAAAATACTCATGCATATGGCTCTGGAATCCATCCATATGCTCTTCAAAACATAAAGCTCTTCTTGCTTTCAATCAGAACAGGCCAGGAATCGCTTGTCCAAACTAGAAGTAGTAACAAATGAACAAAGTATCCATAAACTGTATGTATGTATGCATTTGTTTATTTGTTTATGTTTGTTTGTTTTTAGGATGGGATGCTGTTATGGACTGGAAAGATGTCCTATCAGGAGGGGAAAAGCAGAGAATGGGTATGGCACGGATGTTTTATCATAAGTAAGTGTGCTGTGTTCAGGAAACTGTGGTCCATTACTGACAAAGTATTCAGCAGAATTGAGTAGTCCCTTCTTAGGTTAAATGATACCTGAGTGGGAAACTGGAGAGATGGCTCAGTGACTGAAGGTGCCTTCCACCAATGACAACCTGACTTGGATCTCCTAGACCAATGGTTCTCAACCTTCCTAGTGCTATGACCCTTTAATACAGTTCCTCATGTTGTGGTGACCACCCAACCATAAAATTATTTCTTTCCACTTCATAATTGTAATTTTGCTATTGTTATGGATCATAACATAAATATCTGATATGCTACCCCCAAAGGGGTCATAACCCACAGGTTGAGAACCACTGCTTTCGACCCACATGGTGGAATGAGAGGCACAACACCTATTGCCCATTGTCCTCTGTCTTCCACACGTACCATGACGCACGTGCTCGCACACATACAAGTGAATAACTGTAAGGAAATAAATCTAGTAAAACAAAGGTAGAGGAACTGAATGACATTTTTAAAAATTATATCTTACTAAAAATGTGTAAAATTTATACTTTTAGGTTTGCTTACTTTTTCTGGTATTAGACTCTCCAAATGTTTTAGTTTATAAGATGATAGCACATATAATTTTTATTAGGAGAATATATCATAATTATATGTTTATTTAGAAAACACAGATGAATAGAAAGAATTAGAAATTTCCTATCTCATTAGCTGTCAAAAACATTGTTAACATTTTGAATAAATTTCTTCCTGGTCTTAGTACACACAAGTTGATGATAATCTTAATTGTCTTCATGTGTTTCATAATTTCCAATTTATATCCCTCCTTTAGTTTCATATGCTATCATATGCCTCTCTTTGTTATTATATAATAGTTAGCCTGAGTTCATTATCATTGTTATAATAAGTATGTACTAAGTATATGTTGTAAGTATATAATTCAATAATTTTTATAAATGTAGGTACATTATGTAACCAACATCTCAACCAAGATAGAGAATGCTTTTATTAACCTAGAAATGGCTCTTAATCCCCTTTTATATTTCATATTATACATATGTCCATATCTGTTCTGGTTTATCTGCTTTATAATCTCACCTAAATGAAATCATACACTATGCAATTTTATGTATAGCTGTGATTTTTAGTGAGAAAAAATAGTTGTCTTAATATATGTATTACTTAAATTTACATTGTTAATATGAGAATAGAGAGTACTTTTTTAAAAAAAGAACTGAATTTTACCACCTCTGGACTTTTCATGTTATGTTTTGAAATGCTGCTCTCTCCAGTGAGATTCAAGGGCAAACTTCAGCTTGACATTTATGACCAGCTGTTAGTCCATCTCTGTGAATGGGCTTGGGTTTCGTCCATAAATACTCAGTAACATGATCAGCAACACAGCCTGTGAAGGATGATGCGGTAGATTACAAATGTGACCAGTTTTCCATTTCTCTGTGTTAATAAGATAACCCGACATTTCAAGTACCTGTAATTTGGAATAATTGGCATTTGTGATTGTGAAATGTAGTAGGTATAACGTAATAATGAGTGACGATCAGGTCAATTCTGTGAGATGAAGGGAGACAAGCACATGGTTAAAAGGCAGCACTTTTGAAAAATTATCAGATAAATTAGAAAATTAAATACAGTGAAGGAAAAGTGTAATGTTGAGGATTTGTTTCTTCCCATCCTCACAGGGTCAACAATAAGGTTATGATAAGGAGATTACAATACATACTGAGCTTTGATAGGAAAGATCTGAGTTGGCGACAATAGAGAACTCTGGCCAGAAATTACACTAAGCATTACAATAGAATATACTTTATGAGAGTCTTATAATTTTAATATTTAAAGAATGACCAGGAAAATCCTGTCTTAAGGGGGATAGCTTTGTTCCTTCACATATCCTACACTATTAGCAATACAGCAAGGGGGCAAAAAAGAAACAAACATCTAAGAGATGATGTCATTTAACACTGTATTAGTTCTGTAAGTGCTCAGTCCCAGCTGTGTGGTTTGGTATATTTAAACACACACACACACACACACACACACACACACACACACAGAGTCTTACTCTGCCAAGAAAACAAGTATATGATTCATCTTACATTCCTTAGACTAGAAGTTGCTATAACAACAGAATATAAAATATACTTTTTCTATTTCAAAATAGCATATCTTCTTTAGTTCAAAGCACTCTAAAAAGCAAGACAAAATACAATAAACAGAGTGCCCAAAAGAGAGTCATACAAAAGGAAAATGTTACCTAAATTTTTCTCTTGTATACTTTTCTTCATTTTTTCTACTTAAATAAAATCACAATAGTTGACACAGAGACAAGCAATATTTGATATATAATAAACAACTCCACTGTTGTCTTGGGGAAGGTGCAGTTATTACTGAATGGTTTCACAATCTTGTAGGGCATTAGAAACACCTTTAACTCCTCTATCTATCATCCTTCTCCACCATCTCCAGAACAGGTAACAGGGTCCTATTAATCAGCAAACACATGTTAGAAAACAACTAACAATACTAAGTGATTATTTATGTAAAATGAGAAGTTTCTACTGAGTTGATGTTAGAGGCCATGAATTTGAAAGAGAACAGGATGGGGTATATGGGAGGACTTGAAAGGAAAAAAGGAAGGGAGAAATGATGTAATTATAATTTCAAAAAAAATAAAAACAGATATGTAAAAGTAATTTCATGGTAAAAACTGTCCTGGGAAACGTCGAAACTAATTTTCCAAACTAAAATGAAAACATCAAATGAGAGTATTCATGTTGACTTTAGTCTCATTAACTAAGCTAGGCTGGGTTGCTGGCCAAGCAGAAAAATGAAATAATAAAAAACAGCTGCTTTTTGCTTTGTCACTTACCACCATGACCAATGACGTCACATTCTCCTGATCACCTCTGAGGTTGTCAGGATACAACTGCTGCTCAAAGAAAGACACAGTTCCAAAGAAAATTTACTCATCTATTTGTTTTTTCTTTCAGACCAAAGTATGCATTGCTGGATGAATGTACCAGTGCTGTGAGCATTGATGTTGAAGGAAAGATATTTCAGGCTGCTGTAGGGGCTGGGATTTCCTTACTGTCCATAACGCACAGACCTTCTCTGTGGTAGGTGCCTCTAGGATCCTACTCTGGGATAGATGCTCTGTCTGTTTTTCTTAAAGGATAACTTTGTTGGTTCATTCAGAAATCCCATAAAATTGCAAAATAGGAAACAACAATATATAAGCAAAAGACCTGTAAGGTTTAAAAAAAAATAGCACATAAAGCATTATTAGACAAAACCCATCCAGAAATATCACTGGGTTTAGTCTGTGTTAACTATCTACTGCTGGTCATGGGGCCTGCCCTAAAGTGGGGTTTGTAGCCCCAGTGAGATTCCATTGGAGAAAAGTATTTTTTTTTCTTTGTGAGTGGTTGTCTATTGGAAATAGCTTCTGGGCTAGAGATGGGGGCTTGTGTCCACTTCTCTCAACATGGGAACCCCATCTGGCTTAGGCCTCCTTAGCAGACCCTGCACATGCTGGCAGTCTCTAAGTTCGTATGTGCATCAGTCCTGTTGTATCTACAAGGCCTCATTTTCTTGGAGATCTCTCTCCTCTCTGGCTTTTAAAATCTTTCAGTCTCCTTTTCTACAGGGTTCCCTGAGACCTGGAGGGGGAGGGATTTGATGGAGACATCCCATATAGGATTGAGTGTTCCAAGGTCTCTTACTCTCCACACATTGTCCAGCTGTGAGTCTCTGTATTTGTTCCCAGTTACTGCAGGAGGAAGCTTCTGTGGTGATGGTGAGCGAGACATTGATCTATGAATATAGTAGAATGTCATTAGAAGCGATTTAATTGTTAATTTCTATAGCAGATCGGTAGTATTTGGTTTTCCCCTAGGTCATGGCCTATCTAGTCTTAGGTTCTTGGCCATCTGTTGGGAAGGGTTCCATACAATGGAGTGGGCCTTAAATCCAGTCAGATAGTGGTTGGTTACTCCCACAACATTCATGCTATTATTGCTCAGGCATAACATGCAGGCAGGTCACCATTGTAGATCAAAGGGTTTGCAGCTGGATTGGTATTACTTTTGCCTCTGAAAGTGTTCAGAGTGCTTTCCAGTACCATAAACACTAGTCAGTACAGGTGAAGGATCCAGGTGGAGACCAGCCTGACTTCTCCGTGCGTACGTAAGTGTTGTCTTCAGCAATAAGGCCTTACCATCAGTCTGTGGATAGCAACCAAACAACATGGCCTGAGTTGTTGTGGGTTTCCATGGGGCCCCTTTGACCAACAATTCAATTAGATGTATTCCATTCCTGGCACTGGAGGTTTCATTTGGTGGCAAGTGATGTTGATGTTGGGGCTTTGTCTCTCCCATTATTTGGTGTTTCCATTTAGATGGGTTTCACATGGATGTATATATTTTAAGAAATTTCTACTGTAATAGCTTTCCATACCCCTCAAATGGCCCTAGTTCTACCTATCCCTCACATATTCCCTAGTTTACCCACTTCCTTCCCTTCTCCATTTAATCCTCTCATTCTGCCCTTCCATCCATCCACCCATCCATCCATCCATCCATCCATCCATCCATCCATCCATCCATAACTATCTATTCTATTTCCCCTTCCTTGGGAGTTCCTTCCCTCCCTACAAATCCCTTACTCCATACCTAACCTCTGCGGTTATAAGGATTGTAGCTTGTTTATTGAAAGCTAAACAGCTAACATCCACGTTTAAGATAGAAACTGATTGAAAAGGCTGACTAGTTATAATAAATAATAATTTGGTGGAATAACTATAGGATGAAAAACTGAAGGAAAACAGTGACCCAGTTATGCTAAGTGACCAGGCACAGGTGAATGACTCACCATGGGAACAGCTCTGCCAGCCACACTCACTTCACCCACCCGACAAGTCCTCTGCTAGTGGGCTTGGCTTCTCTTAGGAGATGGATTGCCTCCCATCTTTCAATACAAATCTCTCTACCTGTCTGCAATGCCTATGTAGCTGAGCCATGAAAGAAGAAGGAGTCTATGTGGCAACAACAGAATGTCTTTAAAAGATTCCTGGGGGGCAGGCATGTAAAAGTGATTCTAAATTATTATTACCGAGAAAGCTGTATTTACATGGAATCTATCCCAGAGGATGGTATTACATACAAAGAAGTTGCTTTTGTGTTTTCTTTACTTTCTTTAGTTTTTCTCTATATGATCATTTAAATTGTACTGTCTTCCTTCGTTTTTTTTTCCTTACTTCCATTCTAAGAAGGCTTTGTTATTGATTCAGAAGACATACTGGGTTATGGGGGTAAATTAATACAATAATAGTCTTCTTTTGTAAATTATATGTACTTGAAATATGAAATAAATTCAGTAATATTGAGAAAAATTTCTTAGAAACTAAAGACATTGGACTTTAAAAATTACAGTGTTTTCTGAGGCAACATTAAAATTCAAATGTTGTAAAATATCCACCTCTACTAAAACCTGTCTTTTAACACGAGTTAGAAAATTCTATAGCTAAAATGGCTTTTCAAAATCATGGCTACTGACACTTCATTTTAATTGTGCAGGAAGTACCACACTCATTTGTTACAATTTGATGGCGAAGGAGGTTGGCGCTTTGAGCAGCTGGACACCGCTATCCGTTTAACGTTAAGTGAAGAGAAACAGAAGTTAGAGTCTCAGCTAGCTGGAATTCCCAAAATGCAGCAGAGACTCAATGAGCTATGTAAAATTTTGGGAGAAGACTCGGTGCTGAAATCAGACCAAAAGGAAAAGGACTCACCCTGATTTACCTGGACACATTTTAAGTTTACTTTTAGGTAAAGCCTCAGAGACTCTCTCTTCACTGCATGCCATCTGTTAAGCTGAGTGCAGAGAAAGCAAGCCAGCACAAAGTATTTTGTATGATTTTAGCATCACGGAAGTATAAGATAACTTTTTGAAAGAAAGAAAAAAAGGCAAATACTTTAGTCAAGGTTAGTCATGACTTCCATTAATGCCCCATGAAAGGCCAGCTCACCTAGAAAACAGGACCGTCTGTGGGGATGCGTGCGGTCTGAGGTTCTTCGTGCGGGAGAAAGCCCCCAAACAAGAATAGTAAAGGCAGCACCTGGGTTGATGTCAGGCGCTCAGAATTACAACGTGGAGTGCTGTTTCAGCCCACTTACCACGGACAGTAGGTGCAGCACCTGAAATCCATAATCGGCATTGCTAATGGCCAGCTAAACCTGTGTATGAAACAACAGACTGTTTGATAAAAAAAAAAAAAATTCAATATGAAAAAAATGTATTTTAATGACAGTGGTTGAAAACAAGCATGGTTAGACAAGTATAAAGTACTGTATGTAAAATTTTCAGACTTTGAGCATCTTAACACAAAAAATTAACTTTAATTAAAATTGTGCATATTTATTAAAAAACCCTTTTATTTTTAAAAAAGAGAATTGTCTGCAGAGAAGAGGAGGATCCAGACAATGCTTGTACTGGCTGCTGCTTGAATCTACAGTGCTATCTACTTCAGTTTTTATGCAGAAATCCTGTTTGTTTTGTGCCCAAAGAAACATTTTAAAAACTTGATTACTGTCCTAAATACAGATCCTGGAGTTCACAGTTATTCCCACATTCATTTCATTTTACTCTGCCTTTGAAGCAATCTTTTGAGGCATATCGTTTTTTGCTCTTTTGTTTCTGAGAAAACAGACACTCAGATTTATTTTAATCATGTGACTTATTTTGCAAGACAATGTAGCAGTCAAAGGAGGTTCACATGACTCTCTGATTCAGTGCTGTTAGCCCTATTGCCCCTTCAATTTAACTGGGCTGTAATGTCAATAAAAAATGAGATAGAGCAAGTAGGTGGCCGGAAATGGAATTGTGGGCAGAGCAGGAGGTAATGGAAAAATTAAAGTAGATTAAAAAAAATACAGTTGAGGGCATGGAGAAATGACACTTGCTTCTCTTGTAGGAGACCTGATTTTTATTGCCAACACCCACATGGTGGCTCCAAAGCTATGTTTAATTCCAGTTCCAGGGGATCTGACGACCTCTTCTGGCCTCCAAGGGCCCTGTATTCATGTAGTGCTCATACATATATGCAGGCAAGACACTCCTATACATAGCATTAAAAATAAATAAATCTGAAAGATAGTAATGATATTGAAAATTGGCAACGTTAATATTATTATCTAGTGTTTGCAAGAAATGAAATTGAGTAGGAAATGGAATGGTCACTGGTCTTTGACTTTGAAAGAACCAAGGAAGTCAGCACACTGCAGCTATGTCCATCTCCTTGATGTTGGAGCGTCTGCAGCATCAGCACTCAGAAGGGCAGTACATTGTACTTCTGGTAAGTTTCTTATTGTTGAATATGATGCGAAACAATCTATGGAGTACATCATGTGAAATGGGTCTCACCTGTTTGTGTGCGCTGGCGTACAGAGCCGTAACTGATGCCTTATCCTCGTCCTCTCTCAGGCATTGAAAAACTAAGAGGGACAGTCATAGTGGCTCCAGATTTTGTTTACACATTTAGACATCACTTAGCAGATGCTCATCTGTTGTAGGCTATTTGGGAAATAGACTACCCGGAAGTCATTCACAATGATTGCTGTAAGATATTACAGCATGTCCACTTGTTCAGTTCCACAAAACTGGGTGATTTGAATTATCAATAAATGTAATGACCCTACATGAAGTAATAGAATACATATTCATAATCAGTGATTTTTCATTTATCTGTTATTACTACTTACTACTAGAAATGTGGGGTAAGAACTGAAGATTTTGTTTAGAGAAAGCATGGAACTGGAAAGTGATGCTTGTATTTTAAAAGGACTCCCTAATCTTTAACAACCATGTCAGCAGTTAGTCAGGTTACAGTGCTAAAGGGGAAATGTTTGAAGCAAGTATCTTACATTAGCTTTTAAAGGTACCAGAGAAACATTGACGTTCACATTTGAAACTATAATTTTCATGATTTAAAATTAAACCATTTAAGACCTGAGAGCTTACATTTTTAAGCTTTGCAAAGAATGCCAACGTCAATACTACAAACTTGACCTTATTTGATAGATGTTACCATGAGCTGAAGTGAAATAAAGATAACTCAGCCGGGCGGTGGTGGCACACGTCTTTAATCCCAGCACTCGGGAGGCAGAGACAGGCGGATCTCTGTGAGTTCAAGGCCAGCCTGGGTGAGTTCCAGGAAAGGCGCCAAAGCTACACAGAGAAACCCTGTCTCGAAAAACCAAAAAAAAAAAAAAAAAGAAAGAAAGATAACTCATTAGATGTTTAAGATTCTGTATTAAAATTCTGGTCATGGAATTTAAACGTTAAAATTTCAGGACAAACAAACAAACAAGCTATTTTCCAGTAGCTTTTTTTTTTAAACTACTGATTATCTGAATTACTTTTTCTGAGACCACATATCCTCTGTCTTGGAATCTGATGTGAACTTGTGTTATGTACCACAACACTCTTTCCAAAGTGGGAGACCAGAGCTGATATTCTACCAGGCTCAACTGTGAAAACATGGAGACCACTGAGGCATCTTCTTCTTTGAATAGGACAAAGGAAAATGAAGCATAACTTCAGTCGTCAAACTACTTTTTTTCTCTTCTCAGAAAAGGTGTGAATTTATGGAGCTTGATTATTTGGGGGGGTTAACTCATAAGCTGCATTCCGTGTAAGTGTGACATTCTATTTCTGCAGCATGCTATGGTATGCCAAGCATGAGTCTGAAGCTGGGTGCACTCTTATAGACAAGATAATCTCTAAAATGCTCCTGAATCACAAGGTTAAAGATCTAACTTGAAAACCAACCCAAATTACCCTGTGTTTACACAGGAATGGTTTTCCTCTGATGGTAATTTGACTTTTGCCCTAAATTTTGGTGTGTCAAAAAAGGTATGAAGAAATGTGTTGGTTTTTATTTGAGGCATTAATTCCAAGTAAAAGTGTGTATTTGTGAAAGACGTAGCTTGTTTTGATGTTTGAAATAGTTCGTATGTTTTTTTTTTTTTTTTTTTAACCAGTGTACTCTGAAAAGCTTGTTATGTGGTAGAACCAAAACTCAGAGGAGGTTACATGCTTAGAGATGTGGTAAACATGGTAACAGTTATTAAATTATTTATTTAAAGCGATACCTCTGACACAATTACTTTGTGGGCAAAAGCGCCCCTGGTCCGAGTGTAGCGTGCTTCCTCATGCGCAGCACACCACAGTGCTGCTGTCCCACATGCAGTGTCTGAAAGTTTGGATGCGAACTTTAAATATTGCCACATGAACGCTTTCACATGGATGCACGTTTTTGAATTAAAAACACATCTTCTTCACTTCTGGTGACTTTTCTGATTACCTGGTACACCATTTAATGCAAAAACTTCAGAAGCAATTGTCCTCTTACGAACTCGGGCTGTTTCGATGAAAGTGAATGAGGAAAAATATGTCGGGGTGAGAATCAGTCTGAAGCTAAGCAAGAATAGGGCTGTGAGTACATCATCACTCAGTCTGCACTTCATGTGCAAGGACTTGAGCTCAACACTTACGGTGGTTTGCATGAGAATGGTTCCCATAGGCTCTTATATTTGAATATTTGGTTCCCAATTGGTGGAAGGTTTAGGAAGGACTAGGAGGTGTGGCTGTGATGGAGGAGGTATCTCATGGGGGAAGGGAGTGGACTTTGAGGTTTCAAAAGCTCACAAGGCCAGACCCGGTCTCACTCTCCCTCTGCCTCCATCTTCGGATAAGATGTAAGTTCTTGGCTACTGCTCCAGCACCTGCCTTCCTGCCTGCCTACTGCCATGCTTCCCACCATGATGATCATGGATTCACCCTCTGAGACTGTAAACAAGCCTCTAATTAAATGCTTTCTTTTATAAGTTGCCTCGGTCATGGTGTCGCTTCACAGCAACAAAAAAGGAACTAAGACAAGATTCATGACAAATTCTTTAATCACTATGAAAAATCATGATTATTAGAGGAGTTACAAGCTATTCCAGTGGTGTAAAGTTCCTTATTTCTGTACTATAACTGTTCGGTTTGTGACTACATATACTTTAGTTACACATTGGGTGGTGGTGCCTCCCACCGGATTCTATCATTTAAGAGGCAGAGGCAGGAGGATCACCATAAGTTTGAGGACATCCTGGGCTACATAGTAGGTCCCTGGCTATCCAGGACTATAGGATAAAATCATGTCTAAAAACAAAAAATGGTAGAAAATTGTTCATAACATTTCCCAAATAATAGTTGCTTAAGTAATAATTTCTCTATTAGTTCAAATCATGCATTAAATTTCAATTTATGCCAGGCACTGTGCTGAAAACTCTTTTGTCTGCCTATCACTTTCTCTTCTTAGATGATACACAAACTCTTATCAACTGCAATATTCATCACACATAGGAAAACACATGCCAGGTGGGAGACCATTAAAAAGTGCTTGTTCAGCCGGGCGGTGGTGGCGCACGCCTTTAATCCCAGCACTCAGGAGGCAGAGCCAGGCGGATCTCTGTGAGTTCGAGGCCAGCCTGGTATCCAAAGCGAGTTCCAGGAAAGGCGCAAAGCTACACAGAGAAACCCTGTCTCGAAAAACCAAAAAAAAAAAAAAAAAAAAAAAAAAAAGTGCTTGTTCGATAGGGTATGAACAAAGGAGTGAATGAATGAGTTGGAATGTGGCAATAAGGTATATAAAAAAAAGAAAGTGAAGTAAAGGTGAATAATGTCACTGGTGAGAGATAGAGTTCATGCTTCCCTTCACATCTTGTATGTTAAACTCCCAGTAACTAGAACTGTAATGTTCACGCTTTCCCTTTTTTCTCAACAGAAAGCTGAGGCTCTTGGTGTTCTGTACTGCTTGCTTCATCTCCTTTTTCTCCTCTTCTCTGCACTAAGAATTAGTCCACTGCTTCTGATATTTTCTACAGGATGCTCTTAGCAAAGTACTGCAAGTGGTTTTGCTCACATCAGCAGCACATATACTAAAAATGCAGTGATACAGAGAAGATTCGCGTGGCCCTGGTGCAAATACCCCTTCTAATTCCCTGATACAGCAGAAAATAGATGTTATATTAACTATTCTATTTGAGTTACTTAGTTCCACCTGCATTCTCTTTCTTCTCCAGCCCCCCAAATTCCAAAGTGTGCATTCTTCTTTCTGCTTCGTTGAGTGCTTCTCAACATTCCTTATGTCACAAGGACAAGGTCCAGGAATCTCTATACCTTGCTGTTTTTATGGATCCTACTGACCCTCTCAGAAGTCTTTGTAAGAGAAGTTAGAGACATGGACAGATTCTTACTTTCTTAATATTTACATAAAGTTTAATACCATCCAAACTACAAATAATGATGGCTAACTCTCAATGATAAGAAATTAAGACAGAAATGGATTTAACTAACAGTTGAGCACATTAGAAGCACAGCACTCTCGTTTGCCATGGGCCACAGCTGATTGGACTTCTTGGTTGATCCTCTTATAACCTCAGGCTGAGCATGCTTCTGAACTAGCTTTTCTGTGCCTCAGGTTTTAGACTCCTTAAATGTGAGGATTAAATATACTGGTGCTTGCAAAGTGCCAGGAGAGAGATTGACATGTGAGTATAGCTATTGCCAATTACACCCATACTAAAAAATGAGTGATGTCAGTAAAAATCTAATCAGAATCACCCAGGAGATCATTGTGTTTTATGAAGTCATGAAAGAGGGAAGGAGAATTCAGGGCAACTGGAAATCCTTTTGGATTGAAATACCCCAAATGTGAGTCGCTGGAGGTCAGAGGTCAATGCATGAGTCATGTCAGTTACCCCTTATGTTTGTGGACTAAATAGTGATGGGGAGGCTGAATGAATACGTGCATGGGGCATTAACAAAAGAAAGAGATAGGTACGAGCCAAGGATAAAGCTTTCTTTGTTGTTCCAAGAGTCCAAACATAATGAGGATGATGGTGATTGTCTAGGGAGTTGCAGAATTCATTCCCTGGCTAGTACAAAGAGTTAAACATCCAGGAAGGGCAGAAAACCAAGACACAGAGAAAGGGAAAGTAACAGCTTTATCCCTTTGAGATGGTAGGAGCCAAAGGCTGGAAGTCTGCTAACCCACTTGGCTTTGGTATTTTATGTGGTCCCTGGGTCCTCCACTTTCCACCATTGGTCTTGTTTAGATCCTGGACCCTGTTCCTCAACCCTCTTCCAACTTTTCTCCTCTAAGAACTAGAAGCTGTCACCTCAGAGAGACTGCTTTCACTTTTCTTATCTACCTATGTCTGTCTCTCTAACTCCCCTTTGCAAGTTCAAGCTGGTGCATTGCTGACATTGTGTGGTCGTTCTGTATTTGGAACAGAATTCTAAAACTGATATGTAAAACAACAGCTACAGAAAGCTACACCATAACTCAAATCTCCTGGGGACCCTAACAATGTCCACTTCCTGGTTATTCCTTCTACACACTCTGCACATGGAGAGAGGGTTTAAAGAGGAGAAAGGGACTTGGAGTAGTTGGAAGAGTAAAAGATAAGGATGGGACTAGGAAATGTCCCCACGTGGTTGAGGCTCCAACAGTAGGGGAAGGTGCTTAAGGAGGAGAGGAGAGTACTCTGGCGTCCAACGTGGTGGCAAGAGTTTCCACCTAAAAACTGAGAAAAAAGATTCTAAAACGGAGCTAAAAACAGCTTCCTAATTGTCTCTCTCAAATGAGCGGCAGCTGCCGGTTTGAGCTACTGGTGGGTTCCTAGCGTGCGCGCTCGACCTGCCGTATGGCGGGAATGAGGCCTCAGGAAAGTGGCACATTAAGCTGCATGGTGGATTTAGCCTTTGCTAGTACAAAACAAAAAAAAAGAGGTTTCTGGGCTACACACTGCTTGGCTAAAAGCATAGACCCATGATAGCTCCCAGAGCTGGCGGTAAAGCACCATCATGTTGGGAAGCTGAGGTGGGCGGAGCCAGCAGCCACAGCTGCTGCAGTTTCACAATAAGACAGATTCAGATGTAATAGTTTACAGTGTGTGTAAAAGATACGTAGGCTTGAAAGAGACCAAAAAGGTGATATATAGAGTTATAGAAACAAATACATAGTTTTAAAAATAAGGTCTTTAAAGAGACAGTAAAATTAATATAAAAAAATAAGCCACGTAAAGATGAATATTACACAGAGAATCTGGATTGTGTTGTCTTTGGGATTTTTAACTGCAGAAAAACATTTGATTGTAAAAGCTGTTGAGTTAAACCAATATATATATATTAAAGATACCTTGACTTCAAAATTTGGATATAAGGATATGTTGCTTTGGAAAAGAGTCTCTTTTGTTTCCACAGAAAGCCAGAGGCTATGGATTTGTTCCAGATTAAGATACATCAGGTTTGACCAGCCAAGACCCCCTGAAAGGTCTCCGATGACACCATGGCCCAGATGATCCAACATCCAGAATCCTTTCAAGGCAACTGGCTCAGACGATACAGCCTCACGGACTACTCCATGATCCTAAAATTTTCTTTGTGTCCCCATAAGATACAGCGCCCCCCTCCAGCAGGAAGCAGTAAGAGAAGCTACGCCCAAATTCCCAAATTATATGTAATTTTACTTTGTTAAGGTTAAAACCTTGCTTTTGGAAAAAAAAAAAGGGGGGGAAGTGCTGTGGGATGTTCTGTATGGCAAATGTGTTGCTAATTAGTCAATAAATAAAACACTGATTGGCCATTGGCTAGGCAGGAAGTATAGGCGGGACAAGGAGGAGAATAAAGCTGGGAAGTGGAAGGCTGAGTCAGAGAGACACTGCCAGCCACCACGATGACAAACAGCATGTGAAGATGCCGGTAAGCCACGAGCCACGTGGTAAGGCATAGATTAATGGAAATGGATTAATTTAAGCTGTAAGAACAGTTAGCAAGAAGCCTGCCACGGCCATACAGTTTGTAAGCAATATAAGTCTCTGTGTTTACTTGGTCGGGTCTGAGTGGCTGTGGGACTGGCAGGTGAGAGAGATTTGTCCTGACCGTGGGCCAGGCAGGAAAACTCTAGCTACAGTACTCGATACAGACCTCCTCCTCTTTCTTACCTTCTCAAGTGAAAGTTCATTTCCCAGAGAACTCTGGAGCCTGGATCTATTAGTACTCTCTTTTTCTTTATAATGAGGTGGAAAATTGGACTTTGGCACATTATCATTTGGGGCTTTTGTTTTGTTTTGCTCAGTTTTTGAGAGAGGGTCTTACTACATAGCTCAGCCTGGAGTTAAACTCACAATCCCTCTACCTTAGCCTCTCAAGTGCTGGGATTACAGGCACACACCACCATACATGGTTTCAATCTCTTATTTATGTATTTTAATTAATTATACGACTTCAA